TTCAATCGTCGATCATCGAACAGAACTTGATCCAGCAGATCCCTTACAAGATCTCAGATGAATTAATTTTGTTGCTCAAATGCGTGAGAAACTACAAAATCGCCAAGGATGCGAGTAATTCTTAGACGGATGGGCCATTAAAAATATAGATTTGGGAATTTCATAGATTATTTTTCGTCGCGCGTAAATTTTTTCTCCAAGAATTTTGATCATCGCTCCATTCATGCAAAAATTTGTCCTTAATGATTTTGAAATGTTGCGATGAACTTATTCTCTTAGGCACAAAATCGATTCCACTTTAACTAGGAAACTGCTATAAATTCCGAGCTCTTGTTAACGTTCACTCTCTAGTGATTTGAACTAGGGCTTTTTCAAAGTGTTCATTTGCTGTACCTAGAAAAAGTCACCCGAACAGATGGATTTTTTGTCTCTTCTGTGGGGGCCTAGAAATTTCATATAGGCGTACGGCTGAAATGAAAGTTAGAAATGAAACTAGCATCAGGCAAAAGTTTCAGCTGAATCCCAAAGCTGGCTTTAGTGCTGCAGCAATGGCAAGTCCAGACTGGGGTCATTCCATGTCAACTCAATCAGGTACCGTACCAAACTCACTCAAATTTGGTTGAAAATTGGTACAAGGTGTCTTTGCATCATTCCAAGAAATCATTTTGAAGGGGTCTTGCCTCCACTGCTCCATTCGCAAGGTATCAACTCGTAATGGTGAGATGAATTTTAGCGATTTTCAAAAAAGCTCGTTTTAACTATTTTCATATTTTTAACCTTTCTCTATTTGAATCTCCACGATGACTCTCAATAGAGATCCATTCGATCTTTAAATAGTGTTTCTAAACCAATTATTCACGAAAATTCTGTATACGCCTTAGATATTGAGCTATAAACATGCATTATTAAATATGGAGATAGCACTCAGTGACTTAAACGCAGAGTAAGGAAAAGGGGAAAAAAGCGCCTTCAGCTTATTCGAGCGATAACTATTCGACCATGGTCGTAATGCGGGGTTGCCTACTTACTACTTGAAGGCAATTCTTCTGCACGCGTCTAAATATGAATATTTGACGGATTTTAAAATTCTCTCCGTACTCTTCTCAAGAGGTGATATCTAATGAAAATGTTGTACTTATTTTGCGAAAGGTTTTTATTAACTTTTTCCTATATCTTCCTCTTTTATTTTCCCCTCCCCACGATGACGGGCTGTAAGAATCTTTTGACCTGACTCCATGATAATTACCAAAACGTGGCTTTGTTTCTATCTGCTTAGTGAATCACTCGACAGGGCACGCCATTCAGAACCACAACATACCTATGCTTCCTCATCGACATTTTGCACATGATACGATGAACGCATTTAAACTTTCCATATTCGACTCTTAGAATAGAAAAACTGGATTTTTACGTTTCTTTACAGTTTTCGCTCACAGAAAAACCGGAGTCTATTTGAGTCAAATCGAACATTAAAATACGACTTAAGACGACTCGAGGGACTTTAGCCGCTGCAGGAGTGTGACAGTTGCAGGATTTAGCCTGTTGAGATGGTGTGTTAGTTCGCCTTCAATTTCGAGTGATACTGTGCCACGCTCCAGTGATCGAATAGTTGCATCGCGGCTACGTTTATTTTCGAATCGTTTCTCCTTAAAGTAAATTGGGTATTTAAGCGATCAAAATTTCGGTAAGCGAAGACAAAGCAGACAGAGAGATTGGACATTTCGGACAAAATTTCCTCGTTTGTAGATCAAATTATGGAAAAAGGCATTCAGTAGCTGATTAAAATATGACAAGCTTTAAAAATGACCAGAAAGTGTAAACAGTTTGAAGATCAGCAGGGCCGGATTTAGGAAGTGGCCACATGGGCCGCGGCCCATGGCGGCAAGAAAGGGCGGCTAATATTGCAAATTTTCTTCTTTTTTTTCTTTTTTTTATGTAGGTTTAAAAAAATCGGATTCAGAAAAAAATTACATACGAGAAAACGTGACAGAATCGCTCATCTCCTGAGAGTATATTTCTTATTTTGTCGTCTTTCGCTGATACAAGAGACAGCACCTTTAATTAGTCGAGTTAAGAGAGAAATCAAACACGCAATTTGGCCTGGAACGGCGCGGCGCAGAGAACAATGATGACGAGAACTTGAGATGAAAAGGAGAAGCCCTCGGCGCGGCGGTCGGCAATTCCATGAGAAGCGATCCAAATTTACGACTTTAAATTTTGACCCAAATCTTCTGCTATCGAATACGAAAAATCATGGAGAATTCAGGTTTTATGTTGACCAGCTTCTCGAAAGAAAAATAAAATTTCAAAGGAAGTCTGCAACGTCGCAAACGGTGAAACGTCGTCCCTCATTTTGCCCAATAATATGTATGCATAAAATTGAAGGCAATATGACTTTCCTCTCTCAACTTATATTCGTCTGTATCGATAAACAATGGGACGCGTCTTGATACAACTATACAACCTCGACGGATGTCCGTATTGCGTTCAAAAAATGGCGTTTTGACTCCCTGCTCATACTACCTGTAGTTGATCTGATCGGCAGAAGCGTTGGCCGGCGGTGACAGGGACTTGATGCAACCATTTAAACTTGATGGATGTCCGTATCGCACCGAATGAACTGCGAAACCACGTGTCTCCATTGCGGTGTTTCAAAATTTCCGTTCTTATTTCATCTCTTCCACTCGGCATGTAACAATATTACCGCCTACAAGACTGCATGAATACTTCACGCATTGCGTCACGCGTTGCGTCACACCGCATTTGCGGTCGCTGCGGTTAGCAGCGGGTGGCGTGAAACGCATAGCGCCTGCAATACTGCATGAATACTTCACGCATTGCGTCAAACACAGTGCGTTGTGCAGCGGTCGGTTCCCCCTCCGGCACGTTCACTCGATGGTTTTTATTGATGGTTCAAAACGAATGAGAGGGTGGCTGCAAAATACAGGCGGCTAATGATCGGCAAATAAGTAAATCCGGCCCTGAAGATCAGTGATATCTTTTAGTGATACGTAGATGTATCTAAAATTCTCTGACTTTTCACGGTCGTCGCGCATTCCCTGACCTTTTTAAAGACACGACAATTTTTTGAGAAAACTGATTCATCACGTAATTTTTTTTTTTTAAAAGGTGGGACGCGTTTCGGAATCTTCGATCCCATCCTCAGCCACGATTCAATTTCACTCAAATTTCACGCAAGTGAGTCAGTTTTCTCAAAAAAAAATTTTTGTTTTTGAAAAATTCGAGACTTGTGTAGCCCCTAACGGTGCACAGTGGAGAGAGTCAATAAGTGACGTCGGACATGAAATTGTCTGCTGACACTGCAAATTTTGATGTTTATTTCACCAAAATTCAAGTTTTGAGGGAAACTTCCAGCAGAAAATTTTATGATGAAACCAATGGAACCACTCTTTAATTAGAATGTCAAGTTTTGTCTAAACGGAGACTCAAGCTTTAAAGTTTCCAAATTATATCCGACCTCTCCTTTTCTGCCGTGCTAAGGAAAAACGCCGTATGAGCCATCAGGCGTTGCCAAATTTTCTTCGATAAAATACGAATTTCCTGCGGTAAACTTAAAAATATTTTTCTTCCAATTTTTCAGGAAATGTTCTTTGTATTATGATCTAAAGTTCCTAAAAATTTCAAGGAAAAATATTCATAACTTTCCTCATATATAAACATTTTAGCAAAGAAAATTTGGCAACTCTCGAATGTTCATACGGCGATCTTCCTTAGCACGACAGTTTTGACTCGACCCACTCTGCCGTGATAGCGAAGAGAGCCGTAAGTGCAAAATTTTCAAAATCGAGTTTTCTCCAAAATTCGTCTAAACTCTTTTAGATGAAATTACTGACACAGCTAAAACAGCAAAATTCATCCTAATTTAATGAAAACGAGACGTATGAAAAAGCCGTAAGTGCACAAAAAATGACATAGTTTTCTTCAAGACAGCCGTAGGTGCATGAGAACCAATGAAAACAGTGCTTTCAAGAGGAATGCCGCCCTCATCTGCGGATTTCTGACCTGAAAATGTGTTTGTTGTGTGTCCAACACGCTACCACAAAAGCACTCAGAAGATAGCACTTACGGCTGTCTTGCCTAACAATAACCTAGCATGAAAATGAAAAATACCCTTTTTACGTAATGGACCACTGGACAAGGTACGAATTTCAGCATTCTGATACATGTTTCGTCACTAAAATTTCACGTAGAACACGATGCGCACAAAGAAAATTACCGAAATTAACTCCTTACGAAGATATTTGATGATTCTTGATGCGTGAATTCAAACCACCCGCTCATTAAAACTCAATGCTCTACGTGATTCACATCGCGCGCTAAACGTTATCATGACAGTCTCTGCGTTGTAAAAATCTGGCAACCTAAGTCTTGACGCTTTGGCTCAGCTGTAGCAAATTGCTTATAGTTTGAACAACACATGGTGGAAAATGAACATTGCTCGATTGAGAGGCTTGCAGAAACCGTTGTAGTGCGCGATTTGACTCGCGTAGAGCTTTGAGTTTCTTGTGAGCGGGCTGTTCGAATTCCTCGTAACTGATGTGAAATAAAAACGTTAATATCTTCGCCAAGAGTTGGTTTCAGTAATTCCCGTTGTGTGAATCGTGTTCTACGTGAAATTCTGATTAGGAAACATGTATCAGATTGCTTAAATTCGTACCTTGTCTAGTGGTCCATTGAAATAAAATCGGTCGATTTTTAATCATCCAAACGATTTCTAGGAATCTTTCGGACGATTACTGGCAATTTGACGAAGGACGGAGGCTCTTTTCAATAAAATTTTCGGTCAGAAGCTTCAGAGCCCGTTTTCTCAAAACTTCATTTTTGCACTTACGGCTCTCTTCGCTATCACGGCAGCATTGTGCGGTGTTCCTGGACTTTTCCTGATTCTCCCAGTTTTCCTACTACACAATCGGCAATCCTGACGGTTTTGAAGACGGTGGAATTTTGACTGATAGCTTCTATGTTTCTCTGTGTTTCAGACAAGTTTGCGTGGACGAGGGCCAGGAGCTTTCGCTGCGCTACGGGAGTCAGTTCTACGAGGTGAGCGCGGCGGAAAATTACGTGGGCGTCATGTTGTCCTTCCAGTCCCTCCTCCGGGACGCCCGCTCCGTCCAGCTCCTCCGTACGCTCCCTATTCGTCGGAAACTGGGCGTCAACTCCGTGTCCAAGGTCCTCGGCACCATCTTCGGCAAGAACAACGGCAACAAGGCCAACAGGAAGAAGAGACCTTCGCTCAGTATATGAACATGTTTCCTTTCCAAAAACTAGCCCCGTTACTCCTAGAGTCCCTTTATACAGGGTGTCCCAGGATTAAGAACGAATCGGCACCATCTTCGGCAAGAACAACGGCAACAAGGCCAACAGGAAGAAGAGACCCTCGCTCAGCATATGAACACGTTTCCTTTCCAAAAACTAGACCCGTTACTCTCAGAGTCCCTTTATACAGGGTGTCCCAGGAGTAAGTACGAATATTGAAGGAGTCGATTCTTTGGGTCAAGAAAAGACGTTTTTGTAGTGTAAATTTTTTTTCCAAAAATGCTTTCCCTGGGGGTCACGGCCTCCCAAAGATGGAGAAAAAAAATTGTCTTTTTGACATTGTGACAATGTTTATCAACCAATATTGGATTACATTTTGCAATAAGGAACCACTTATTTCTGGCCCACTTTAGAAACAACATACATGCCATTGGTTTCCCTATGCAGTAATGTGCTTTTATGAAAGAGCCAGAGATAGTGGTTCCTTCTTGCAAAATTCAATCCTATTAATGAAAATTGGGCAATGGTGGTAATTTTTAGCGCTCTTTCCATTTTTGACCTCCAAAAAAGGTAAAACTCATTTTGAGGAGTTTCATACGGTGATTTTCCTTAGCACAGCACTCTGGAACTCTTCACCTAATGGAGCGATGCACAGTGGATCGAGTCAATCAGAGAGGTTGGACAAGAAATTTTTGACTAAAACTGCAAATTTTGATGTTTATTTCGTCACCTTTCAAATTCCAAGGGGTGCTTTTGGAAGACAATTTTATACGAGGAAACGAATGAAACCAGTTTTAGAACCTCCAAACTTTGAGTAAACGTATAGTTATAAGCGTTTAAAGTTTCCAAATTGTGTCCGATCTTTCCTATTGACTCGATTCACTGTGCGACGTAATGCTTGGATAGAACGCCGTATGAGAGTTCGGACGTTGCTCAGGACAGGATCTTCCGATTAAACACGGCTTTCCGGAGAAACTTGCGATTTTCTACCGATTTTTCGGAGAATTTTAACCAAAATTTAAACTTGAGTATCTAATTAATCCATGAACAAACATTACCTTATGACTTTCCTTAAAAATAAACCTTTTGTCGAAAAAAAGTTGGCAACGTCCGGGAGTTCATTCGACGTTAACACGATAGCATTTTCGAGACTGTACTGGGTCAGATAATTCAAAATATTTTTTTGTATTATGATGAAGTCTGAGCGGGGGACACCTCCCCCCTCCTTTTCTCTACCTTTATGGTTGAAATCGGAATTTTCCGACGTAAGTAACACTACTGAGGATTTTATTCCATGATGAACAATCTCTAGAATATTATTAATGGTACGAACGTGCTCTATTTCAAGCCTAACCATTTTTTCGATGGTAATTATTACATGTACATATTTTCTTTTTCATAATTCCTATTTAGCAGGGTTAATTATTCATATTTTTTATTTTTGTTTAAATTTTTTTCATTCCTTTCCTTTACACTGTAGACTGCTGACAGAGAGAAGCATTCACACTTCCTCTTTTGCCAACAAACTGAGAAATTGCCTCATTTCCATTTCAGTCTTTTTAATGCTTGTTTCAGCACAAGTACAAATTATGTATACTCAAAGTATTATTGTATATAAGTTATAAACGAAAATTACATTTTGTTTTAGAGATTTTAATTTTTGAATGAGGAGTGCCTCTTATTCCAATTATTCAGAATTAAAATGAGATCAAGAGTGTCTTATTGCTCCCCCCTAATAAAATTTGAGTTCCTACAACTAATTATAGTAGTCTTTCTTATGATACAAGATATCACGCCTGTTCATTTTATATTTTTTTTTTAATTTTTCGTGATGTCAAAATAGCGTTTAGATACCTCAGCTTCAAATCCTGAAACAACTTGATTTACTATTTGTAACCTGAAGAAAAATTGTCCATTTCTAAGAATTTAATCTTCAAAATCATCCTCCAGTATTTCATTACAGCTCAGAAAATTTTGCTGAATTTTGCAATATTTGACAATTTTATGGAAACTCGAAGGTCTTTGCTAGCTAGAACTAGAAACTAGCTTAGGCATTTACTTCCTTAAAGGAAAAATTAATACAACATATCACCACCTCATACCAAAACGAAACCATTTATTTACAAAAGAGCCAAAGTGCTGAAAACTCACTTCTCTTGAAAACCGTGATACCTACAGGATTCAAGCAGCCAGGGCTCCAGAGATTTTGGCACTTGGGCTCTTTTGTAAATGAATGGTTCGATAGAGTTGAGTCCCATGTTGATAAGCCCTTCAGCCATGATTTCCCTTACTTAACAAGAATGTAGTCTCATTATTACCTGAATATTATTTTTTCGTCTGGTTGTTCTTGATTTCTAAGTTAGGCTATGTGCATTTCGGAATTTTCTTCCTTCTTCGGGCCAAAATTTTGATAGTTGTTTGGCACTCTTTCCTTGTGCATGTTCGGCGGTATGAGAGACACATTAAAATATTGATAAATCGGAGACGTATAAGAAAATAAATTATTTATTATTGAGATATTTTAATATTTTAATGTGTCTCTCATACCATCGACAAGCACAATGCAAGAGAGCTAGACAACTATCAAAATTTTGGCCTGAAGAAGGAGGAGAATTCTGAAATGTACATAGCCTAACTCAGAAATCAAGAAAAACCGAACGAAAAAATAATATCCAGGTAATAATAATCCATCCGGTGAAATGATAAAACCATACAATGTAGTCTCAGTTGTTGTCCTGTAGACTTAATACTAGTGTCATATCATAAGTGCCTATGTTTTAAGATAATGTTAAGGAACTCGTTTTCTTCTTTGTAAATAAATGTAAAAACTTCGTTATGAAATGGAAATGTTTGTTTTTATTCATTTTTACCTAATATATTTGCGTGTGAGCTGCATGAAGCAGTGTTGCCACAGAATTTAGAAAATGAAATTCCCTGACAACTGAAGATGTGCTCAAAATCATACTAGAAAGCAAATGTAGGTGATTTAACAAATTTTCCCTGACATTTTTGTCATTTTCCCTGAATTTTTTAAATTCCCTATCATTTCCCGGTTTTGCCCGACTGTGGCAACCCTGATGAAGGCGTTCTAAATATCCAGAAAAAGAATCAGAATTTTTAGGAAATTCTGGTCATTGTTGAATTTTTACAAAATCTATCCTTCAGTTTAATATTTTGCATTATTTTTAGCATATTTCAGCCACTTAATTGCTGAAATTTTATGCTTATCTACAAGATAAGCCAAGCCTAAGGTTAAATGAAGTTATGTGATTAATGAGTTGTCAAAACTCCTTTTTTTTGTCATACCCTGATTGGGCTGAAGAATTGACTTCTTGTTGATCACTGAGGAGATGTCTTGGGTTCTTGGATCACCTAAATAACCATTAGTACATTCGATTTGAGTCTTGTCTTGTCTAGAGGACCAACACAGTAATTAAATGATTGAACCGATTGATCTTTAAAGGCCCAACCGCCGGAATCCAAGTCTACAGAAAAACGGGACACTGAGTGTGCTGCTTCACAAGCGTTCAATCTCTCAAGCCACAATTCAATGAGTACTCTTTGAACACATACATTATCTGGGCTCAGAAAATTGAGCGCACACCAAGCGGTAAATTTGGAGATTTGATATTTGTTTATTTTTTAGAACTTTCTTTGAAAGCTTCTCGGAACCTGGATTTTGACGCTTGGGCCCTTGGAAATGATATCTGTTCAATTAAGCCTGCTGAGAAAATTACAAGAAAAAGTCGATCAAGTAAAAAAATCATCTGTAACTGTAATTTACAAATTTTCCACATATGTACAAGTGAAAATTCATATTGTAACTGAAACAAAGTACAGAAGCACATTTTCGATGGGTACATGGTCTGTATTTCATGTTTCATTCATCTTTATTTTCTAATTGCAAAGGACACGAGCTGTAAGAAATTGGTAGATTTTCAAAATTTATTTATCAGATAGAAGGTACTTACGCTGCTTAAGTGCAGGCAATACCATTAGTTTGGAAATTTTAATTTCCATTGTGAAAAACTGAATCAATGGTACCAACAAACTCTCTTCTCTAGTTTTCTTTTAAAAAAAAAAACGATAGAGTATAGTTTAATATTTTCAATGCAAATCAAAAAAATATTCATTAAACTCACAGCTAAGGCCAACTAACTTTCTTTTTTCATAAAAATCTGGAATTTATTCATAATTTTTGTCCCTTGAGCAATGCATTGAAGTCTTAAATTTCACCACAAATGCAGAAAGTAGCTTAACAACATTTTCGAAAAGAGAGCTTAATACAATTTATTACATACATAATGCATTATGTGATAAACTCAGTAGGAAAAAAATGAGGTGACTTCTATAAATTGTAACATTGATGGCTTTGCTCAAGTAAATTTTCTACGAACCCTACATTTAAAATAAAAGTTTATGAAACCTAAACACTTAAAAATTTAGGACTAAGGGAAAATTTGGTTTTGAATATCAATGAAAGGTGGGAACCTTTTGATCTCAGAGATAAATTATGAAAATAAGCCTTTAGGAGCCTTGTTAGCAGAATATTATGTGTACATCTCAAGCTATAGAATTGGCTTACTTCTCATCAAAAAAATAAAATAGGAGTGGAAATTTTGAAACATTGCAATGATACATGAATGGACACGCAGTTTTGTGTTTTAATTGGACGTATTTGTGCCACATGGAATTATGTGCATTATGATGAGAGCCCTGTTACGGTTGTGACCTAATGGGTCTTAGGGCTCATATCTTAGTGTGGTTCCGTTTGGCAGAAATACGTCCAATTGTCAATATTCAGAACCTAAACAGGAAAATTTTTAAGTAAAGCATAGTTGTTTGCCGATATTCAAAACACCAATATTGACACTTAGCTGCTTTGGAGTTCAGGAGATTGAGGCAGATTCAGTTTATGCTTGGATCAGATAATACTAGAATGAATCAGAACTCATTACAAACTCATGTTTCGAAGCACTAAATTTATCACAGAATTTTCAGTCGCTTAGCTCATTCAGCTCATCATCATTAACGTCAAGCTCGTCTAGTTCTTGGAAAAGAGCTTCGTCTACCTTCACAGCATCGCCTTCCTCTAGGAATTTGAGGTCCGATTCGTTGAGTGACTTATCTGTCATGAATAATTCTTTTCCGGTAAGTTTGCCACCCGTGTCTTTGACGGTGCTCTTTTTGACCGATTGCATCTCCAGGTCAAACTTTTCCTTCCATAATTTGAAAGACTCTATAGTCACACGCGTACCTTCAAATCGTTTCTGTAAATCAAAAACCAAGTATTCATTATTCCTTATTGAGACGGCACTGTGTTCGTAACCCTTGCCATGAAAATTGTCAACAGAGGGGTAAAGTTAAAAGACTGGCACAATCTAATTTATCAGGGTTGACGGGCTCTGTTGATCCAAGATTTTTAAAATCGCTTGGCTATCATAAGGGCATAACTAAGCATAGAGATGAACCTGAAAAAGCATTGAGTTCGATGGACTACAGGGTTCGTGTGAAATGTAGTTGAGTCCTTATGTCAGGAGGGCGATAAAATAAGCCAAACTGCATTTCAACTCTTAAATAGTGGACCATTTTTCATGGTGAGGAGTACACAATGTTTTACGCATGGGCATACAACGCTGAATAAAGCCTCCCTTCCATTAGTGTACAGTGTACACTATTGAGAAAAGTTAAACATTTTAGCTTGGGTCTGCCGTCAGTGGCACTCAAGAGATGCAGCCAAGTGAATAGCTTTCCATGGGTAAAATCGGAGGAAAACTGACCAGTTAATTAACAAGTGTATTTAAATTCAGAACATTTCAAGTGGATATTGAATAGGAGGCTCTTGTGTCCGCATTTAGCAGATTGGAATGACTAGGCAAATATAGATCAGGGGGTCTAGTTTTTTTTCATTTCGGGAAATATTGATTTTTCCTGATTTTTGACTGCTAAATACTGATTTTATACTTTTACCATCAACTTTTCCTCAAATCCTGGTAGAATTTGGCAAATTCTGATGCTAGACACCCCTTAGATCTACATAGGTAATATAACATAGCATCAATAGCCTATGTTGCTGAATGTCTTTTAAAATAATAAGTAACTGACTAATACTATGATAAATAAGCAAGACAATGCTATTGATAATAGCTCATACAAAGAGCTCGATGCAAAAACGGCTTTTTTCGCCCCCCTCTGGAAGTTCTTCAGACTTTGTCTATTGATTACTCATACTTGAGCGCTTCTTTTCCCAAATTTTCAGGCCCCCAAAAAATTTTGGGGGGGAGCTAGGGGGGGTGGAAGTCAAAACCTGTGAACCTCGATATCTCTTGAACAAAGCAAGATATCGAGGTCCGGTTTGGACGAAAAATCGTCTAAAATTGCATACTTTAAGATTCTAAAGGTCGAAATCCCGATATCACATTTTTAAGTCAACATATGTGCTTTTTTCCAGTTTTTAGGTCTAGAAAATTTCTTTTAAACGAAAAATTTACAAAGATCTCAATTTTTTATTTGAACCAAAACCAGTTTTTTAAATTTTTCGTCTTTTTCCGCATCCAACGAGTGGTCCATTAAGCTGGGGAACCAAACGGTTCCGGAGTTATGATCGATTAAAGTTTCCGCTCAATGCGCGCCGACCGATTTTTGCGCGCAAAAAAGTCGGATTTGACTGTTATTAGATCAGATTGAATGTTCAAACTGAGCAAAATGCTTTATTAGGGACTCTTGAGGGTCGCTGAGTTCAGAAATTACAGATACTTCCAAATAATTTACGTTTTTAAAATTACAGCTCCGCAGCGCTATTTTAGAGGCCCACTGAGCGCCGACCGGCCGCTCAGTGGTCCTGTCCGAAGCTGCAATTTTTTGGGGGCCTGAAAATTTGGGAAAAGAAGCGCTCAAGTATGAGTAATCAATAGACAAAGTCTGAAGAACTTCCAGAGGGGGGCGAAAAAAGCCGTTTTTGCATCAAGCTCTTTGGCATAGCGTTATGAATTCGTAACGGGGATTTTTGAAAATTGAATATTTTCTCTGGGTCAGGATTGTGCAAATTTTCAATAGTTCTTTCTTTTCTTGAATATTTGACTGATTCCCTAAAATGTAAAATTTTTAAAAAATATTTGGCATATACTAGGGTTTTTAAAAACTGAATATTTTCTCTGTGTCAGGATTGTGCAAATTTTCGATAGTTCTTTCTTTTTTTAAATAACTGATTCCCTAAAATTTAAAATTTTGAAAAAATATTTGGCACTTAATGATTGTTGTGCAAAGCTACAAAATGGATTAGTATCCCCCAGAATCTGAGATCCAAAATTAATTCATCCGAAATTCATGGTATGAAAAACGGACCATAACGCCCACTTTTCTTTTTGCTTGGCTCAAATCAAAATGCGTTTTTTACACTTTATAAATTTCTTTTAAAAAACCACACCATTTTCAAGAAAATTGATGACAAAAAAGCGTCTGTGCCTACCTGAGTCATCGAGGAAATCCAAGATGCCCGAAATGCAAAAACCTCTTTATTTTTCTCTATGGATAAAGAAGGTAGAGAGAATGTATGAATAATAGAATTTAAATAAGGGTTGGGAATATAAACAAAACTTTTCCTATGGCATACCTTTTCGGCCTCTTCCTCTGCTAGTAATCTCTTCTCCTCTTCCTCTTCTGCTGCTTTCTTCTTCTCGTCTGATTGTAAGTTTAGCCATTCTTGAGCTGCTGATACTAGGGTAAAGACCATGACAGTGCCTAAGTTTTCTTGAGCCTGAAATAGAGTTAAGTTTTGGATAGCAATTTGTTTTCAAGTTCAAAAATGTGCAGATACATTCCACAACTTGCTGCAATTCTGAAATCGGATTTCTCCCGTCCGCATAAAAAGCCACTCACGACATTTTACATTAAAGTTACATCGGATGGGGCAGCCCATCACTTTAACATTTCAATCACTTTCAAGAGGAGAGTATTTTTTATTTATTTATTTTGCAACTTTGTAGTTGCAACTTTGAGTAAAGTGAGTAATCTACTAATTTCAGTTGAATCAAGCTTGATGGGCAAACTTCGGTTAAGCATAAATTGCACTCCCCATGTACTTCATCTGATAAAATTAAGCACAGGCAAGAAATCATACGAACTTTAAAAATTTAGTGCAAGTAATAGCCAAAAATATGGAATTATTGCATATTTTTCATTTTACCTCCAAATTGTCAGAGACTGTAGCAAAGAGGGATTGACTATAGTATTCAGTTTTACTTTTGGCACACTTCCTTGTCATAAAGTAATTAAGTTGCATTTTCAGCATGAGACAGAAGATCTGCCATCATGATTCTGGTACCTACTTTTAGTGCCAATCATCTATCACATTCTAGGTAGAAATGCGTAAACTTATTTGGTGTGAACTCAATGTTGACTTGAGGGTGAGAGAGAATGATTGGGACTCAGAAACATAGTTGATTTTTTCCTTTTGTGAGCTTGAAGAAAGTTGAGGGAACAATATTCTCAACTGTACATAAATTACTTCACCCTGAAAACTAGAAACTTAAACTTATCCTCCCCTCCGTCTTGCAGGCCCGCTGGAGGAGGGTTGAAAAACCCCAAATTCAGCATTCACTGCGTATTTCATGAACACTTTTTTTTGCCTTTTTTCAGCATTGGCAGTCCTAAAAATCAGCATTCCTTGAAAATTTTGAAAAAAAAAAATATTCAATACTTGGCGCAGAGCACAAATTTTTCAGTCATGTGGTAATCCCTATCACACTAAATCAGACTCTTCTGGAGACAAGACATGCTTCATGATCAGCCGTTTGTTGTCTCATTTGAGAAATAAATGTTCTGCTTTATTGATCATTCTTAGTGTTAGAGATACCTGTTCTTGTAAGTGCTCCATGAGTCTTTCTTCATCATCTTCTTCCAAACCAATGGTTTCATTAAACGTAAATACAGGTACTTCCTCTGGGTAGTTCGGTGTATACTCAAATTTTAGGGAGCAAAAGAGTCCTAAATTTGTTTCAGGATCGTATTCATCAGATTTGATCGGTATCAAAAACGTATAAGGTTCAACCGACAATACTGCAACAAAAGGATGAAAATAAAATTGTCTAGTGCACTTAAAGACTGAAAAGAACTTGCCTTTTTAAAGGCTCTACTTAGATCAAGTGATATGGGTATTGCAACTAGTGAGTGAAGGAAAAGAGGAGATAAAATCACATCAAACTGAATACATCAAACACCAGTTAGCTCATTGGTTACCGTATAAATTTATGTGGAATGGTGTGATTCTCCAATGTGAAATTTGTCTTTTCTTTTCTTTCCTCCGTTCTAGTCGCCTTTTAACAGGGTGACAAGTATTTTTAGAAAAAAGTTCTCTAACATTTCGTGGCTTTGTGATATAAAATTCTCTGACTTTCCAGGATTTAAGAACATGATATTTCTTGAATTTACGGGGGTTTGGGACGTAAAATTTCCTAAGCTTCTCCTTACTGTTGGATAATCTTCTTAGCATGAAATTCATCAAAATAATTCTTTTCAAAGCCTATTTGCAGAACAAAATCTTGTAATTGGAACAAATGATGTTATAGATAGAGGAAAATACTTTAGAGTTCCACAGCAAAATTCACTGACTTTTCAAGCTTATGCATACTTCCCTCAATTTTCAGAAATTCTTAACTTTTCAAGAACCCTTCACATTGCTAAAGAGTAGGGGCTGCAACACAACTTGTAATATGCCGATTCCTTACGCTTCTTACTTTCTGTTTGCAATAGTTACAGTGAGAGAAAAAAAAAATTGGGGGATCATTACCTTCCATTTCTCCGAAGTAGATGGATTCAAGTGCTTCGACTTCATTCTGTTGCTCTGCAGCGTAATCCATCGTGTAGTATCCTCAGAGTGTTGCTACGTCATTCAAACAGGCATTACTTACGATAAATCTTGATGGAAGTGCGTTATGGAAGACTTAGTAGAAAAATTATGGCGGAACATTTAAAAATAAAGGTAGTCTATAAAAAAGAATAAAGATTGAGGCATATGCCGACGTATAATGCTAGTCAAGACACGAGATCATCCCATGTGGTCACACTGACAGGTTCTAAGATGAGAATTGTAAATTAAGAGAGGATGAAAACATTGATTTGTAAGCGAAAACTTTGATAAACTGATGGATCTTTGAATTATTATTGAAAAAAGTGAATAATAGCACATAAGAAGCAAGTTCGGCTTCTAAATTTCCTTATCACTAATCTGTGTCACTGAGAAAGAGTTTTCAATTTCTAACCTCTCAATCAAAACAACTTTCCCAGTCCAAAGCAGTATTCCAAAATTCGGCAAGGAATCGTCAGTGTTTCAGTTGTTCGACAAGGAATACTGTTATCAGCTGATTGTTTTGGAAATACGTCACTAGATAGCTCTCGTAATCAAATTTTGGTCTCTAATCAAATCATAATAATCGTGCAATCGCTGTAAATAGTGTGTTTTTGCGTGGTAGACTTTACACAGAAAATTCACAAATTTAATCAATTTCGTCTGTTCGCATGTTCTTGATTAAGTGTCTGGAATTTTTCTGTAATTTGGACGGAATCCAAGTCATAACAGGTGTGTATCTGATCATTCCCCTTTCATCTGTGATGTTCATGAAGATTTAACCATACATTCTCATCTTATTCCCTAAATACTTAGTAAAATTTGCACTATATTTCACTTCTCTTCATATCACTGCTTAACTTGAAGGCATCTTTCACCTCAGTTATCAAAATGTCATTCCTCAGAAACATATTTCTGACTTCTCATAACCGTCTCATTAGTGGTGGTGAAAGCGCACTTTGCAAAGGACCACCTGTGATCCTAACTGTTAAATGGGAACAAAATTAGATTCATCGGATACTCACAGATTCTTTCATTTCTTGTTAGCTTGACAAAGATGACATCATTAGAATCTCACCCCATCATTAAATTGTATACCATCAGCCAGTACACGGTCATTAACTGATCCTTCACCCTCACTCGTTTCCAATCACTCATTCCAAATCAAAGGAAAACAGTCTATTCCAGTAAAAGATGGCACTATCCTTCTACCCTTCTTCTTCTCTATGCTGTCATTGCTAAATTTGTCTCTAGTCTGAGTGAATTTTTCTGCCTGGAGAGCAGCAGAGAATGAATTCAGATTGAGTACCTAAAACTACTTACATTGTCCGAGTCTAAAGATTATCCAAGGGTACCGATTGACAATAGAGGCTACTTTCCGAAAGATCTTGGTTGTGTATTTAGAGTCAGAAATGGAAGTCACCCAGGTGTCAGTTCTTAAAGGATGTAGTTTACGTATTCCTATTTTAAAGGAACAATGAGCGTTAAATTTTATTCGACATTTTCTCTGTTTTCAGCTCTTGGGGTTAAAACTGATGAATCATGTCTGTCACACTGAAGCAGATTTTATTAGATGCTAAACGCCTCTCAAATCGATTGAAAGAACACGATTCAGCAGCTGATCATCTTCTGTCTCAAACTCAAACTGTGTACAAGCAGATTGATGCCATGAAACAGGTACATAATAATGCAATTGAATTAGGTGTTATTCTAAAGGTCTATGTATTTTTTGTATCATCTGCCGAGACCATATGAAGCATTTTGTGGGTTATATTTTCATGAAATTCATCTTTTCAGCCAAATATTCTGGTCCTGGTGATAAGTTGAAGAGATGGAACATCAATCTGCAATTACTTCTCCTAATCGTCACTTGTTTTGGAACGGAAACTTTTCAACAAGAAAGCAGAAAGTGTCCACTTGGCAGACTTCTGAGAAATGTGAACGCAGATGGCATTCAAGATTTTTCTTTTTGAAACTTTAGTATCATTTCTTCGTAAGAGTGTGCCACTTTTTGTGAAGGAAACCATCAAATTCATTCTGTTTTGAGGAGAAAATGTCTAAGTGCACTACTACTAGCAAATTACTTTTTATGACGAAAGTAGTAAAGTGCGCTCTATGATGCGAATAAACTATTATGCCTGCTGTAAGTTGTAAGTGGACAGCAATGGGAAAGCAAAGAACTTGCTGCATCCTTGCTTTTCTCGAGCATAACATTATGTTGCAGGTATCATCTTTTATTATCATCCAAAAACATAGAAAAAAAAAGGATTTTCAATAACTTTACCAACCTCAAATTCCTTTTAACCAGACCCTCAAGTCTCTATTTCCGAGGCTAGATATTTTCAAAATCTCAATGTGAAAATGCTAAAAAAGATCCATGTTTTATCTTCTCCAGAAATCACTGTCTCAAAATCATATGTAAGTAAACCCTTTATAATGGAGGTTTGTCAATAATAAATAATTTTTCCGCTTTTTTTTCAACAGTACACCGAGGACCTGAACGAATTGAGTGAAAGTAGTGGTCGGCCTCACGCTGCTCTAGTCGCTGAAATTCAGAAGGAAAACAAAGTTCTGCGAGCACTGCAGATGGAAAACGCTGAGCTCCGTGCCGCTTTGGAAGACCATCAAAATGCCATCGAGTTAATAATGTCAAAGTATAGGCAGCAGGTAACCAAGTTGATGCATGGTAGGAGCTCAGACATCGCCAAGGAGATATTGGAACTGTATCGAAAAGAGTATGCTCAGGTATATTTTTTATTGACATCATTAATTTAGTCAATGAAATTTAATGGGCCTGTTGCAAACTTTTGCTAGAGCAAAACTAAGAGTTGTTTCTTACAGATAATGCCTCAAAAATTACGATGAGCGCATCGGCAAAGTCTGAAATGCACTCATAATTTCACAATCTGCGTAAGAAATTTGCGGTTTTTTGAGCTTCCCGCTTCGAAAACGATACTACGGTACAGGTGAAAATCTTGTTAGAGGAGTCGTTCCATTGGCGGCAATACTCATCATGGCCGACGCCAGTCCGCCAAAACACGTGTGATGGGACGAGATAACACCTGAACAGGATTAAACCAGATAACAATCGGCGTGTTTACCTTCATATTTTCCTCGCCTGCCTTAATTGACCTTGAACTCTCCTCGAATTACTCGAGGAACTGCGCAAGCGTCGGCCATGATGAATATTGCCGACGATGGAGCGACTCCTCTAACAAAATGTTCACCTGTGCAGTAGTATCGTTTTTGAAGCGGGAAGCTCAAAATAACGCAAATTTCTTACGCAGATTGTGAATTTATAAGTGCATTTCAGACTTTGCCGATGCGCTCATCGTGATTTTTGAGGCATTATCTATAGGAAACAACTCCTCATTCTGCTCTAGCAAAAGTTTGCAGCAGGCCCATTGCAGAATGAATCTGTTGCTGTCTGTGGACAACAAAGCTTCAAAAGCATATTTTGGTTTCGCAAATTCTTATTTTAAGTAATATTTTGAGGGAGACCAACCAGTAAGTAACGTTTTCAATACATAATCTACCCAAGATCTGTAGCACGTAAGCCCGTAATTGCTGGCAATTTTGAAGCTCTCATGCAATGGGAAGTTACATTTATTCATGAAAACTTTGAAAGATGAAGGCTTTCTTTTTCCTAAAAAAAGATTCCATTGTAAAAGGAAACTCCCATAAAGTTTAAGGAAACTTTTGTATCCACAGGGCTTCTACCAATAGCAGAGCTCAGTGGAAGTGTGAGAGCTTCGATGAATAACTAGACATCGCAAAGTTTATGCTGATAAAATATTAATTTTTAAGGAATTTGATCAATATTTCTCTTCTACTGTTCAGGTACTTTGGATCAAATTGCACGTAAAATTCTTTGAAAAATTTCAAGAAGAATGTTTGTAAGTCCCCGCTAGAAAATTTGTCTTTTATCGATGGAAATGTGGCAATGTCTAAATGCTCACACAGCACTCTTCTTAGACATAGTAGACTATAGTCCATTTCATGAAATCTGAGACTTTTTATTCGGCATTAAAATCTGTAAATGGCAACGCATCAGTCTCGAAGTCGCTGACCGGACCGCTCACTGGACACCCTCTTTTGTTCAGCGACCATGGGCCGGCACCCCGTCCATTGTGAGGATAGGAACAATGGGCACCCTTCATCCCTCCTTAATGAGCCCTTGTACCCGGACTGAAATTTTTTTGCCGATGAAAAATTCATTTTTTAGCGTGTAAATTTGGTTCCAGCGTGAAATTATGATACAAACGCACTAAAATTCCGTCCAATTCTCTTAATTTTGAGCTGACGCATGGCATGTGCGCGTGACCGCGATTCGCCGCAAAATACAGTATGTCAACTCAAAATTAGGGGAATTGGACGGAATTTCAGTGCATTTTTATCATAATTTCATGCTGGAACCAAATGTTCAAGCTGAAAGATAAATTTTTCAACAGCAAAAAAGTTGCGGTCCGAGTACTAGGGCTCATTAATGAGGGATGAAGGGTGCCCATTATTCCTACCCTCACATTGGATTGGTTGCCGGCCTATGGTCGCTAAACAAAAGAGGGTGTCTGGCAAGCGGTCCGGTCAGTGAGTCCGAGACTGATGCGTTGCTATTTACAAATTTTAATGCCGAATAAAAAATCTCAGGTTTCATGAAATGGACTATGGGGATTCTTCCTTTCTACTGTATTTTCCTACAGTAGGGATGCACCATGTTCTTTAAATGAGTCCCTTCAATCATCTCAGACTATTTATTATTTAGAATAGAAATTGCATAATGTTTATACAAATTTAAGTATTTTCCTCTAGTTTCATATTTTTGATCATAGGTGATTGACAATCAAAATAGCAAAATCAATGAAATGGCTAGTGTGATAACATATGCTGTTGAATTAGATGATGACAAACATATAAAAGAAATATATAATCAAAAAGATGAAGAAATTTCTCGGCTTACTGTCGAAAACCAGGTGAGAATTTGTTCAAATTTCATTTTATCATAGTCAATAGTTTCAACTATGCTGTTGACAGTTTGATAGCCATAGATCAGTCACAATGTGACACTGCCGTGTATTCCACCACACTGGACTCTGCTGCCGTATTGATCGTGATGAGTAAACTCGAAGGCAAGAAGAGTGAAGTTCAAACTCTGTTTTCAGCCACCCTAAATTTTTGTACTTTTGATTGAACTTTTTTCGCACTTGCCATTATCAAACAACAAGAAAAAAACTATAAGCTTAGTTTACTTAATCCTATCAAATGACAGTATAAAGAATGACCCAACTGACCCCTTATCAGCATGTGTCTTAATTATCTGTGCAGAAACTAGAGAGAAACAAATCTATTATGCCTTTGGTGGATTCTTTGTCTTGCTGCAACTTTTTTTCTGCCTTAAATTTTTGGCAACTTCCTTGCAAGAATGTGCAGTAAGTTGGTCACCCTGACCAGCAACCTGCGGGCTGATTGTTGAAATTTATAGACTAAGCGATAGACTAAAAAGACATAAGGAGTATGTAATGGTCCTATTGGTTGAAATGTGGTTCTTATAGACTAAGGGGGTAAATGATGGACCAACTGTAGGGTCTCTCGTGAGTTGCCATTAGTTATAGTCTATCACCTACCTCCTTTGTTCATTGGAACCACCCGCTTCCACCAATAGGATCCCTCCATATCCCTTTTATCTCTTTTGTCCATTAATTTCAATAATCGGCCTGCTGGAAAGTCAAGGAGAAAGCGGAAAGAGAAAACTGATAACTGGAAGAGTCGCAAGGTCCCATGTAAGAATGTGATGCGTAACTTCACAGCGCTTGACGCAGAGCCTTGTTGTAATCTCTCATGGCCTGTAGTAAATTTTTACATCAGGATTTTGAGCCTCTTCTGATCCGCTTCGGTATTTTGGGCTAAGCTATGTTTTTTCCCGTTTTTTTTTTTTTTTTTTAATTTGGGAAACAGATAAGGGAATCAGAAAATCCAAGGAGACAAACCTGGAAAGTAAGGGAGAGAAGGAAAAATTTTTGTTGCACACCTAATAAGTTTTTTTTTTTTTTTTTTTTTTTTTTTTTTTTTTTTTTTAAAATAAGAATTAACTGTTGCACAAAATTTTGTCATATTGAATGAATAAAAATCATTTCTACCTTTAATGGCTTACACAAGTATTTGTTTTTCGGCTCTGCTTCTTTGAAATTTTCCTGTCTGAATACTCGTCTCTTTTTTCATTTCGTAAAATTTTAACACTTAGGTGACAGAAGCGTTCTATAGCCAAAATGATTGTGGAGTGTACACACCGTCAAAGATCAGAGCTTAGGAGGATTCCTGTTGGATAAAGTTTCCAGATCATGGAATTTACCCTTTAAAAATTACTTCAAAGAAAACAAAATTAGAAACTGTAGAAAATACAGAAAAAAAAACCTTACAGAAAACAAAACAATTGAAGAAAAAGGATTTACACCGTAACTGCCCAACAATCAATCTTAAAGCTGAAGATTTCTATCGAAATTTTCTGCAACTTCTAAAGAATTACTAAAATTGTAAGTAAAAATTTTCGTTAGTTTTTCTTGAAGGAAAAAGAACATGATGAGGGAGATTTTTATACATTGCAATTAAGATATGCTTTTTTGAAGTTTTTTGCATTTAGCCATGGATATTCCCCGGATCCTGTACTCCTGCGTTAGAATTACTGATTTTAATGTTTGTGTTCATAGGGCCTGCGAGAATTATTATCAATATCCAGGAAATGTGGTTCTAGTAAGCCTCAAACGGTAGAGCCTAAACAAGAACCAGCAGAAGCTGTTGAAGAGACACCTGCAGAAACAACGGCTGTTCCCAACAGTACGAAAGAAGAGGCTGATGATGATAGTCCTGATTTAGATGTTAGTTGTGACTTTAATACTGATCCGAGCAAGTACATGAAGACCATAAAAAAAGATACGAAAGATCCTAATATTAGGAATTTTAAGCAAAAAAAATTGAAAGGACTTTTTGAAAAGGAAACGGGTGATGCAGATGACGAATGGTGATTCTTCTATCACCAAGTCCTGAAACACCCGTAAACAAATTCGTAATACCTCCTATCTCATGTTGCGCTGCACACTGTACAAATTATCTCTCTCTCTTGATGTTGTTATTTTTTCACCTTTAAGTTGATGACAGAACACACGTTGTGGGAGCAAGCTCATAAGCTGAGACTCCGAACAAACATGAATGTCTCAGCTTCATTAGGAAGTCTTAGGAGCAATCTTCAATATTTTAGAATGGGCATATTTCGTGAGTCTTTTAAGGCGCAAAATTTTACTTGTGATTAAATTGAAGGCAAAGAAGTTGACGGAAAGCCATATGCTTTTGGTGCACTCTCGTTCATTGTAATGACGCTCAATTAAGCCAGATACTGGTGTTGTTTGGCCAAGCACTCTTTAAATGGCAGTGAGATTGCTTACTGCTGCAGTCACTTGCCCAAACCTTGGTTTTGTTCTAACAACATCTCTGAACTTGCAAGCAGAATGTACAGAGGCTGGACTGATAACGATCCAATTAAACCTCAAACATATCCACATTTGTCTTCCTGATCGGTTGTAACTGTTGTTGTCCCGAACAGGGCAGTTCCAACAGGAAAAATCCTCAATGAGTTTCTCCACTTTATGATGAGTACAATCACTGGAGACTATGATTCTCCTTCAACTTCTCTGTCTCTATCTTGAGAGGTGCTCTACTTACTTTCTCAATTGCCTGTGTGGCATTTCTTTACTTACCAGATATCAGCAACTCCTTAAATATATAATCAACAATTGATCTTGTAGGAAATCTTGAATTGCCAAGGTTGACTTGTCGCTCTTTATTTAAATGTTACAGTTGTTTATTTTGCCCTGAAAAAGTAGGAGTATCGATATTCTGAAAATATCTGGGCAGTCTTCAAAGTCACTAATAAGTCTCGGTAAATAATATTAACTGTACATACTTAACAACAATCTTAACAATTATCTTGCAGAAGTAACAAGAACATAATTCATGCATGCTTTTAATCCATGCTAAAATTTTGCAAGTAACCAAAGTGAAAATATCACGGCATAAAATCAAATATCTGGCCGATGTGGACCAATACTTGATATCGTTCAAATCATATCATACACATGTGGAAACTTAAAATAAGACCAAATGTTTCTGCGAAGATATGCAAGGTTTGTGTTTGAAATTTCATTACCAACTAACATAAGATTAAATTTTCTTTATCAAACTTCTTATAAGGATTTGAAAAAGTTTAAATCCAGGAAATATATTAGAAGTCTATGTCTTGGATTTAAGTTGTATACAGACGTCTTAAGATATAGCTGGAATACCTAACCTTGCCTCTTCAATAAGTAAACTGAGTTAATCTGAGTTGGCTCTTCATCACAAGTTACACATGTTCCTGTAGATGTTTAAGATCTCTCTTCATGCCAGTAGAAATCTATATACCTGAAAAGATTTCAGGCACTCATATCAACAAGTATCATCTTAATCTCTATTTTGAAAATGGCTCTTCTTTTTATCTCAGAAGCTAATCTGTCAAGAAATCTAAATGTGTCATATTCCTCCTTGAAATGATTGAAGCAAGTCAGCAGAAGCTTATCAAAGACAATATGAAAACTTAGTGATCGAAATCATTAGAGAGATAGTCGGATGCCGTAAAATTTTGATGTCCAATAGCCAGGGTGCGTAGGAAGGGTATAAGTAAGACTTTATTCCTGATAAACCAGATAAAACCCTTTCTGTGTACGTAAAAACTGCTCATAGTTCTAATGTAGTTCACTAACAAAACATATACTTTATTGGTGAAAGAGTTGATAAAAAGTTAGGGCCCGATAAACCAATTTGGAAGGATGAAGTAGACTAATTCTGTGCCATAAAGGGTGGCTCCCTTCTTATACTATTAGTCTTACCGTACATTCACTAAATTTTTTATCTATTTTCAAGTATTTAACGGAAAACAGACACCGCTTTCAATTTCAAAATTATGTATCAGGCTCGAAAAAAGAACCAAGGTGGATGAAATAAACAGCCAAAGATTATTTTTTCTTGTGTAAAAAAATTCATTGTAATTTTTTTATTATGAAACGATTTTGTGAGAAAATAGCAAGTCCTTTATCAGTACAAATCCTTTTTGATTTTCTTTGAAAGAATCCAAGAACAACGTTTCCTATTTCCAGCCCTATCTTTTATTTGAGATAAGGCTCATGAAGACTTAAAACAGATTGATTCTTTGCGGAAGTGCCACCGACAGTGTAACATGTTCCATCAAAAGTGAGAGGAAAGTGGGACTCACTTTGAGATTCTCACTTTTTATTTTTCCGTATTGTAGATTTTATTCTTTAATTCAGTGTCATATAGGTTAAATGTATAGATCACCCATTAAAAACAAAATAAAAAATATTTGTTTAAACCTTTTGTATTTATTCTTTTGTGCCAGTGCAGGTTGAGGATGTAATCAACGAATGTAGAAATTTAAACCGCAGAGATATCTGATCTAAGTACAAGAATATACAGGTTTCCCCAGTAGCACACCTCATAAAAACGTTGAAAAACTTGTAAAGAAGTTGTAAATGATCAAGAGTACAAGAATATTAAGTCAAACATTTGTGATCAAAGAGATAAAGAGAGGTAATGGACCACTAGACAAGGTACGAATTTAAGGATTCTGACACATGTTTCTTAACCAGAATTTCACGTAGAACACGATTCGCGCGACAAAAATTACTGAAACCAATTCCTAACGGAGATATTAACGTTTTTATTTCACATTGGTTACGCGGATTTTAAACTGCCCGCTCACAAGGAACTCAAAGCTCAACGTGAGTCAAATCGCGCACTACAACGGTTTCAGCCAGCTTCTCAATCGAGCAATGTCCGTTTCCCACCATGTGTTTTTCAAACTACAAGTAATTTGCTGCAGCTGAGCCAAAGCGTCAAGATTGAGGTTGTCAGATTTTTTTACCGGTGAGACGTTCATGATAACGTTTAGCGAGCGATGTGAATAACGTAGAGCTTTGAGTTTTCATGAGCGGTTGGTTTGAATTCACGCACCAAGAATCATTAAATATCTTCGGAAGGAGTTGATTTCGGTAATTTTCGTTGTGCACATCGTGTTTAACGTAAAATTTTGGTGAAGAAGCATGTATCAGAATGCTGAAATTCGTACCTTGTCTAGTGGTCCATTCATACTTTTTAAGTAATTTACTCGTAAAAATCTCCATATGGGCATTTTGTTCTCAGTCTATTTTACTACTTTTTCTACAAGTTATTCACTATATTGTTTTTTAAATTGTACGTTTTTGTGCCACAATGGGAAATTAAAAAATTTAGGTGAGTAAAATTATTTATGTTCACTTTACTTGACAAAGTGAAATAAGACTCACCAAAAAGGAAGGTGGCATTACCAGAGAGAAAAAAAAACTTTAACAGTTTTTACTTTCAGCAGTTTTTTTTAAATAATCTTTCTGCCCTTAGACTTTGGTAGGTAAGTGTTCGTATAAAGTTTTTTACACTTTTGTCTTTTAAACGGTTCTTGCCTTTAAAGTTAAATTTTATGGAAAATAACTATTTCTGTTAACTTCCTTATTTTTTCTTTATTCATTTTTGTTTCCTTGTAGGTACTAATTTTTCTAAGCATAAAGGCAGGGCATGGAAAGATTTCAATTTCACCGTGTCCAACACTTATAGGTCAATGGATCGGTGGGTCCAATTATTTTGAACATGGAGAATAGTCTTGGGGGAGGGAAGGAAGGGAAGGAACACCCAAGTTCGGGCTGAAATGCTCCGAACAGCACAGTGCAATGAAAATATTGAAATAAATTGCATTAAGTATTGTTACATCTTCATTGGGTCAATGATGTCAATCCTAAACAATACGTACTTAAACAAAGTTTCGCATAATCGCAAGACAGACGATTTGCAATGCAATGCAAAATTGCAACTTATACCTCAATTTTAATACAATTTTCAAAAAATGAGAAGCGCCCCTTCAATTAGCAGTTAGGCAACATTCACCACACACCTATGCAGTGGCAATAAGTTGACTTGTTTTATTGTATTTTACTATGGTATTGCAATATGTGCTAGGTACTTGGGTGGTGGTAGTATGTTTCATAAATTTATTCTACGTTCATAGGAATCTTCTTTTTGCCTTCGTTGATAAAAAATAACAAAATTTAGTTTGTAAGATATATTTTTCCAGCAAACAACAGTTTTCTGTGGAGATTGTACCTCGTTGTTTTAAATACCTTCGGCATTCCGAAAAATGCTCTTATAATGAACGAGATTTAGCGGCAGACATCGAAATACACGCCACATTAATACTTGCAGCCGTTAGCAGTGGGTTTCTATTACATTACATTCCCTACGCAACAGATGCAGTTGACCGCCTTTCTGAGCGAACTTTTCAGAAGCCCCCCCCCCTCCCTTCCTCCTCACCCCCTTCCACGGGTGATATTTTGAATCTGACTTGGGAGCCATACTGGATATCCGGTTTAGTTTTTTCTGTTGCGTTGGTCCCGGGAACCTCATTGTGTCCCGTTGTGATTATCTATCGAATTATCAATAAGATTTTTGCATGTGATCCATAGAAAATTTCAGGTAAGCATCGACTCTTTTATTGAACTCGCTAAAATTGTTAGACAGTGCTCATCTGTATCATCGTTTTCGTGTAACTATTATCGGCACAGGCGCCCGACCGTAGGCTGCAACGATTAGTGTGGCCAAGTTGTCTACATACTCATGCAATTTCGTCTCTTCATCTTTTTGTTTTCTCATGCCTGTTCGGTTGAGACAACGGTAAGATAAATTTTCTACGAAGTCCCTGAAATACAGCTTTGACCTCCATACAGTCCCTAACCCCGGAGCCCAATTTAGGTAGCGGCACCCTTCATCACATGGCAACCTTCTGTAAATGAATATGATTTTCATTATCTAGAAACTGAGTCTGTCTTTTTCAACCACAGTTTTATTGCAAAATGTTTGTAATCACTGCACCTAAGGGGAGACTCCTCCTAATGTTTTGGGCGATTGCCACCTCTAGTGCACCAACTGGTACCCGCGGTATCTAACCTAACATTATGTAAATCTGATCTCACCTACACAGAAGCTCACAGTCATCTGAGCACATCCTCTTTTTACTTTTAACAGAGGGCAAATGATTTCATCTTGTCGCAAAATATTTTGATTTGCGTAGTTTGATTTACCTTACTTTTGCAGTCACTCTTACCCATGCAACTGTAGTTGACAACAATTTTCATTCCCACTGACGGAAGTTTATGGAATTGGTGCATGACAAGAAAAAATCCTCTGCAAGGATAATGGGAAATTGCTTTTAGAAACATTAACTTTAAATGATTTCATACCGTTGTGTGGATGGAAGGTGATTGTTATCAACCATTTGAGTGTGTTAGTAAAATGTTGCCTCTAAGTAGATCAATTTTGTTAATGCAGCTGTACGACCTAATATTTGTTTTCTTTTTCCAGTGATATTGCGGCATTTATTTAAAACAAAATGGCTATCAACGTGTATTCAACAAATGTAACCTCAGATAATCTCAGTAGGCATGACATGCTGGCCTGGGTGAATGACACCTTGTCTGCAAGCTTTGGAAAAATTGAAGAACTTTGCACGGGAGCAGCGTACTGCCAATTCATGGACATGCTTTTTCCAGGTGAGTTCTCTGTCTGCACCCTCTTTTCTCTGAGTCGGTCAGGTTGTTGAAAGCAATCACTCTCATTGCCAAATTTGAGCCATGTCATCATAACTACCTAGTGAGGTTAAGTAGTTCAGCAGAAGAGAAAACGTTTTATAAGATTTCAGGCATTGTCAAATTTCTTGTAATATAAAGTGCGGAGTTTCTGTGAAAGTTTTGGTTAGTTTTCTTCCAATTTTGTTGTGAATTTTCTTCACAATTTGATTGAGACCATCTGAAAATTGTAGGGAAAAATATTCATAACTATCCAAAGAAACACACATTTTATTGGGTGAGACTTAGCAACATTAGATTGTTTATTAGACTTCCTCCGTACAACATCATATCACTTCCCTGAATCAGTGATAACAGCATTATTTCACGCCTAGTGAGGAAGCTATTTATCTTAGAATGGGAGAGTGTTGACTTTTTGAGAAGTTTTTCTATTAGATGAATATATGACCAATTTTAGTTTTCAGCTTTTAATCACAAAAGCATATCTTCAGAACGTTAGCACTTTTTTGTTGCTGTTTCCTCTCCTGTCTACTCTTAGAACCGTGAAGGGTGATATATTTTTTTTTTTTTTTTTTTTTTTTTTTTCAAAGATCTAAGCACAATACCTCAAAAGGCAGGGTTGCATATGATTCTGATACTGCAGTTAAGGACGCAGAATCATTTTAACGCCTATCATCTGTAAACCCCTTTTTCTTCAATAATTTTGATGGCTATTTGCTCTTTAATACTAACATGTCGTGATTTTCACTTCGCTTTAGAAAAAATATGCAATTTATATAGTATTTTATACCAGTCTCCCAGTTTTAAACCCATTTTTTAAACCCCCTCGTTTTTGAATGTGACTAAGTTGGGTCGAGAAGGTTTTGCACCTCTGACATCAGTTATTTCAGGAGTCTGTTGGATTTTTAAAGATATCTAACTTACTTTTCCCTAAGTACTGCCAGTCACCAAAGTGTCTTATTCATGACTTTAACTCTCTATTGCATGAATTAATTTTGAGTTTTGGATTCTAAAATACTCAAATTTATGTTGTGGCTTTTGTGAAAACAGTGTTCCAAATATTTTCCTGAAATTCCAAATCTTAGGTAATCAGTTTTTCAACAAAGAAAACACTGATAAAAATCTGCAAAACCATGCCACAGAGGAAAGATTCAATTTTTCTAAAACTGAAAAATGCGCTGTTACGATTAAGTAAAATTGTGCCGTAGAGGGTTAATTTGCACATAATCATTTCTTGAAACAGTCCCCCTTATGCACGTTTGATTGTGTGCCATGAGCCCTGCTGCAGAATTTTCTTGAGCATTGCGAAAATGTTGGCAAAGGTTCAAGGTTGGCACTGTCTGGGAAATTGATAAACAACCTGATGATACTGGTCACAATAGTATCAACAAACTTCTATATTTCAATTATTTAAATACAAGGCTCCTCCTTTGAGAAACCTTTTATTATTTATCTTAGCCAGTGACTGACAATGAGAGGTTCATCCCAAAATTGGACTGCGTTTAACAGAATGGAACCAAGCCACATCAGCTATTACCAAATTTAATTGGACAATTTAATTTTTTATGGGAGAACGTTTGTGCGGATTCCTTTGAAAATTTCAAGGAATGTACTGTGGAGAAAATTCACTGGAATTTGCACTAAAATCCGCACAACCGTTTTCATGAAAAAAATTAAATTGCTTAATTAAATTTGGCGGTAGCTGACGTCGCTTGGTTCCTTTCTGTTTAACGCAGTCCAATTGTGAGTGTTTCATTTAAAAGTATTGTACCCACAGTAAAGCTAAAATGAGTGAAGCCCATAAAAATATGAGTTAATGAATAGTGAGCTTTAGTCAATTTTGTTCCAAATTTCTCCAAAATTTCTGCAACAGATGGGGGGAAAAATTACCCTTTAAATCTCTTAAGCAGTGTAAAAATATCACTGAGCAATGTATAAGCAGGGTGACTACGGTTAAGAACTACTGGAGAAAGTCGTAGGAAAAGAAAAAAATGCTCCACAACTTATAGGAAAATGGTGTCTTTGAAAATGATGAATTGTTATGCGTCAAGTCTCATTGATTAAGCTCATTTTCCGGCAGAATCAGAAAATATTGTATCCAATCTTGTCTCTCAGTGGTGGAATTTTTTCCAAGTCTGTCAGAAAAGTCAAGAGATTTCAATCTGAATTTCTTTGGCATCCCCTGTGTAATGAATTGCTCATTTTTCAAAATAAATTGGCAAGGTTAGTCGCAGTTTTGTCAAATTATTAAGTTTGCATTGCTCCAGAGAACTCTCACTCTATAAGTCACTCAAATTATTGGTTGAACTTCTCAGAAACTGAGAATTGAGTGAAATGTATGAAGAGGAAACAATCAGGATTTCAGCATCAGACGTAGTACCTACCGTGTAGCAGAGAATGATGACAATTTTTGACATGAGACAAGGTCTTGTAGATGAATCTGTCTCCAAGAGATAACAGCTACTGATAACAAACACTTTCAATATTTACCTGTTGCTTTTAATGACATCATCGTTTTGACTCAAGAGTTTTTTACTTTTTTATCAATTTTTTACTCAAACAATTTTTTTATCAATCTTCTTCTTAGTTTTTGAAGTTAAAAAATTATTAACCCTCTATGGCATAGCACTATGAATTCGTAACAGCGTATTTTTGGGGTTTTTAAAAACTGTTTCTCTCCTCTGTGGTAGGATTTTGCAAATCTTCATTAGTTTTTCATTTTTTTGAATAACTGATTTCCAAAAATTTATAATTTTGTGGAAAAAATTGATACCCTATGTTCTTTATGCAGTTACAAAATAGAGCAGTATCCCCCAAAATCTGAGATTCAAAATTAATTCTTGCCATAGAGGGTTAATGACTTGAGGGATCTCTTTTTTTTTCTTGTTAATTTCAAAGCACAACAGGTTTTCAGTAATGGTGAAAAAAGGAATAAAAATTCCCACGAAATTTCCAAAATGGCTTGTACCTACCTTCAACAGTCACTTGATGAAAATGATTCATATCCCCCCCCCCCCCCCCCCCCCCACTTTTTTAGCATTTTTACAACATTGTAGTGCACTTGCATCAGTTTTCAGTAATGTAGAGGCTCATCTGCAGGGTTATGGGCTTGAGGTCAAAAGTTGTTATTTTTGCAGGTTTTCTGAGGATAAGTCACTGACCCTGAACTGGTCACAGCTGAATTGCCAAATAAGGCAACCCATTTAAATATCTCAATTTTAAGGCTAGTTAGATTGTGTAATCCAGGCTGCAGCATCACCAGTCAGGAGCTAAAGAGAAAGTTATAGTCATATTAGGATTGTCTTTTATTGACCATTCACAAGAGAGCTGTTCATTGAGTTTCATTGATTGACTCATTCTGCCTTTTCCCTCTGTCTTTCTTTTCTTCTCTTTTTTCCGAATGCTGTATTGTCAATTTGTTTCTCTCAGTCAAAGTCTCAGCTGGGTTTTTTTTGTTGGGGGGGGGAGGTCTGATCCCCTCTTAATTGATGTTCAACTTAGTAAAATAACATAATTACCTTACTATAATGAGCCACCAGACAAGATCTGAAGTAGATAAAGATATCACGTGTTCTCCTCAAAATCTCACGTAGAAAATAATTAACTCTGTAGGTAGTTCAGATATCAACTCTTGAATGAGATCTTGAAAATATTTTTGTCACAGATCGAATGAAAATTACGTCACCAGTGTTTTTGCCATTTATAGTGAACACTTGTATACTTCCTGTTGTGTGATTTGTTTTCCCCGTGAATTTTTGGAGAAAAAACATTTTGCGTCGTGCTTTATCTCATACCCTGTTCAGAGGCCCATTGAATGGCTTTCTTTGAAAAAAGCCTCTGTACTATGTGATTCCTAATGCGTTTCTATCTTTAATTCAAAGGAGCCCTTCAATNGATAAAGATATCACATGTTCTCCTCAAAATCTCACGTAGAAAATAATTAACTCTGTAGGTAGTTCAGATATCAACTCTTGAATGAGATCTTGAAAATATTTTTGTCACAGATCGAATGAAAAAAATCGTACAAATTACGTCACCAGTGTTTTTGCCATTTATAGTGAACACTTGTATACTTCCTGTTGTGTGATTTGTTTTCCCCGTGAATTTTTGGAGAAAAAACATTTTGCGTCGTGCTTTATCTCATACCCTGTTCAGAGGCCCATTGAATGGCTTTCTTTGAAAAAAGCCTCTGTACTATGTGATTCCTAATGCGTTTCTATCTTTAATTCAAAGGAGCCCTTCAATTACTTATATGGTCATTGAATAGTTCAGAATGTGTTTTGTTGGTAATTTGACCGACAATTTTAAGAAAATAAAACAAGAGAGTTAAAAAATCGTTCTGCAAGGAGCTGCATATTTTGAATGAATAATACCTCTTTGATTTCCTGGCTTTTATAAGTTTCCTCTCACCAACTTTTTCATTGACTATTGTCAGTTTTTTATTCCAACGCTCTTTTTTGTTTTATACCTTTCAACTATCGAACTCAAAAGGCAAGCCATGCCATAAAAAACACTGGTAAGCGTGTATGTTAGAATTAACCGAGTTTTCCTCCAATTGATTTCATATCCTATCTGTGTTCCTCTGTTTTCAGGATCCGTTATTTTGAAGAGAGTCAAGTTCCGAACAAATTTAGAGCATGAATACATACAAAATTTCAAAATACTTCAAGCAGCATTCAAAAAAGTTGGTGTAGATAAGGTACGACACTGTTCCTTAAGTGACTCCATGTGACTCTTCTCTGAGTGAGATTCAATTAGTATTCGATGCATGGAAGAGCTTTCTTTGATAGCTCAATATGGAAGTAATAGCCGAGAACAACAGTTGAATTTTAATGAGGACAACTCCTTTAATGTTCAAATTCTGATTCTTTAATTGCTCATTCGAGTAAGCATAGACTGATAGTGGTGCATCGCCCATCATTCAAAATAAATGCCATGAATATTAGGCTGTTCTTAAAGTCTTCTAACTGGTTATGGGACTTAAAAATCATAGGTAGTAGCTCGCTTTTTACCTAATAAAAATATGAAAATGCTAATATTACCAATGATTAGTGCCTTGTTTTGCTCACAAGATTGATTCCTTTCATCACTACCGGAGCTCACTTAACCCATTTGCATACTAATTCATTTGGAATGTCCCGGATCTGAGCATACCGTTTAATTTGGCTAAAACTAGTAACTTTGATTACTTCTGATTAGTTCTATAAGTCCCCCAAAATGCTGAAAATTGATGCTCTAAGGATACAAAATACATCTGCCAGGAAATTAGTATTAATATCATGGAAGAATAATTTAAAGTATCATGTTAAGAAATAGCTACAATAGCCTGGGTTTTTTTGTAATCTTTGAGCCCCCAAAACTTTGGTTCTGTTGGTTGTAGGAGTTGAACTTTTGCGATCTTTATACGATCATGGATCATTCAAATCTCATCAAAATCTAAGATGGTCATGAAAATTCATTGGTTGAATTGACGTAGACTGACCAGACTCGAACTCTATTTAGTGTTTGAAAAATGTGTAGTTTTATTCATACTTGTTTTAACCGTAACGTTTTAAATTTGAATTTCCTTCTTATTCATGTTTATGTTCAGGTTATTCCTGTAGATAAATTGATAAAAGGAAGATTTCAAGATAATTTTGAATTTTTGCAATGGTTTAAGAAATTTTTTGATGCCAATTATGATGGCAGATTATACGATGGGTTTGAAGCCAGAGGTGAAATACCATTGGGAAGTGGCGGTTATCTAGGAGCAGAGCAAAGTGGATTCTTAGCTCCGAAACCCTCCAAATTGTCTGTTAGAAACTCGCGTCAGGTTCTCAGGCAACCGGGTATACAAGTTTTTTCATTCCACTGTTGAGCTTTCTCAGTCTCCGTAGAGCTCTGCCTGCTGTTCTTTTATCAGTTACCCATTTTACCGTAGAGTTTACTCAGTCTTTTTATTTTGAACATGTTCTGGAACTAGGAAAGACACTCCTTCTTCTCAATGAGTAGGTGTGTAGAAACTTCCATACCACAGGACTGGTAGGTCCCGGTCTGATCCCGGGAAATGGTTTTTTTTTTTTTTTTGCAAGGTGGGGAACAAAACATCCAAGTGCACTGTTTTTGGGAGGATAAAACATTCAAGCGCGCTGTTTTAAGGGAACAAAACTGTTAACTGTTACTTTATGTGTCAGGCAAAATTCTGCGAAAACTTAAAATGGGGAACCTAAATTTATTTTAGGGAAACCCTTGGAAGTTTCTGCACCCCTTTCAATGAGTTTAGTGCTTGCCTATTTATCTTCTGTTAAGACATGAATTTTTTAATGTAATTTTCTCAGTGCTTTGCTGGTAAGTTGCATTTACAATTATGGTTGCATGCCGAAGTGCATATTGATTTTAAAATTATGAGTTTTCAAATATACCCGGTTATTTTTGCTTCACTTTAGAAACTTAATCCTTAGCTATTTCTGATGAGTTTTCTTTGCTTTCCTAAAAGTTTTTGTGAGATTAGCAGTGTCAACAGGTGTGGAAAATGTAGAATTATCAGAGAATTCCAATAGGCCAGGGAAATCAAGGAATCACGAAGAAGACTGTAAAATCGAAAAAATCTTGTAACTTGAAATCTGAAAAAAAAAAACATTGTCACTGTCCACTTAATCAAATGAAGCCTCTGTGAGGCTCAATTTTTCTAAGTTACACTATGAATAGTGAACGAAGGATTAAGTTTCCATAAGTAATTGGAGTTTTATGAATTTTATGAGTTGAATGAATGATCAAAAAGTGAAGGGAAAATGGTCACATGTCTCTGTCAAGTAGTGAAATTAGGCCAAAAAAAGTTAATTTTCAGTCGTACATGTTCAATTTAGACATATTTATGCTGAAAAGAATTATGTTGCAAGCAACCCCATGCATCTAGCTCTTTTCAGTATAAATTCCAGCATGAAAAATCTTTGAATACCGGTTCGAAAAACGGTCTGCTCTCACTTATCATCAATCGTTAATTATTGCATCCTCAATAACACTCATGCACCCAAAGCTTGATAAGAAGTAGATTGTATCTCAAGAAGTATTTTTGAGATGATTTTAAGTTACTAAATCTCTTACTGTGTAGGAGAGAATCTGTTTAACCAAGGCTATTGCGCAAGATCGAATTCTTCTTTCTATTTTTTATTTCAGTTGTTCTTTCATTTTGATCATGTCTTTTTTCCTCCTTGTTTCTCCTGCTCAGGAGCACCCTGGAACTCAAGCACTAATATGTCAATTGCACCTTATCTAAACATTTCAGATTGTTCCCATAGATAAACTCGTTAAAGGCCGCTTCCAAGATAACTTCGAGTTCTTGCAGTGGTTTAAGAAATTTTTCGATGTCAATTATGCCCTGACTGAGTACGATGCTCTTGCAGCTCGTGGCGGTGAAGGTATGGGTGCAGGAGGTTCCAGCGCCAGAAACATAGCCAAAAGAGAACCCCCAAAAACAAATTACGGAACTAAAGCTCCCTCTATAGCCTCTCGAAATGGTGATTTTTTTTTTGTTTACATTTTGATTTTTCATGGTTTTTTTCTAACATCAACCTCTCTTAACTTCTTTACTTTTTTTTTTTTTTTTTTTTTTAAAGAAAATGTATTTATTATTATTATTATTATTTCAGTAGGTATCATTGATTGCAAATCTTGGAAACCACATATTTTGGTTTGCTATTTTGTTGACTTCTGATCATACCTAGTTCATTTTTTCTGAAAACTAATCAACATATTTCTCAGGAATTTTCGTAATTTTTCTCAGGTATCTATTTCTAAAATATGTGGGTAAAATTTAAAACAATTGAGTTTGCTTATTTTAAAAATCTGAAATAGGATCTGGCATTTTGAGATACTTGGATCAAGATAAATGATTACTGAGTTTAGCAATCGGCACATTTCTCTTCTCTTCATCACTCTCTTATTATTTAAACGCTGCTTTCAAAAACTTGGCCCACTTTTCTGTTTTCAAAATGCATATGTCCATGATACGAAAGTGACTTATCATCATCATAATAATTAACGTCAAGGCTGGCATAACTTTGGTGCACTTGTAAATCGGAGCCCAAAAGGTTAATGTAGCTCCAAAAATTAAGTTCCTCTCTCTCTTTTCTTGTTTTGCCGACGATCATTTTTGAGCAAACGTTGCAGTGTTGGCAGTTTGCCTTAATCAGTACTAACTTTGCTTGTTTTGCTGTATTTTGCTTGATTACCTTAAAGTGGACTTGGATCCAGTGCACAGTCATTTCAATCTAACATTTTTGTTTTCAAAATTCTCCAAATTGATAATTAAATTGATGCGCCCAAGAACATCTGATCTAGTATGTTCTGCGCCTCTGCTAAGACTCTCAAAATAGAAAATAAACTTACCATTTTGCAATTCTTGCATGCATCAGAACGAGAAGCAAAACTGCTTTTGTCTTGGTAAATGTAGCCTAAAAGATAGTGTCTTGAATTCATAACTCTGCATTAAGCATGCCTTGTTGCTTTTTGTCTGTAGCGTAATTTTTCTCTTTCTCTAACCTTTTCTTAGCTATTCAAGGTGATTTAAAAGTCTTGCGCTACCAGGCCCTTGCATCACCCATGTAACTTTTGAACAAATTCAGGTAGAGACTTGAAATTTTGTGATTGCTCCTAGGTCAATGAAAATCGTTTTTCGGGCCCCCCAAAATTTTAAGAGGATTTCCCCAAAAAGGGACAAGAATACTAAGGGTTACGGGGGTGGTTAGGGACTTTTAGATCACGTTGTATGTATACTCTTGTTTTTTACATTGCCATTCTTTTTTTTCTTCGCAAAAATTCTTAATTAACAAAGCCACTAATGAAGACACAGATAACGTAAAACACGCATGAAGAACTCGGAACATCAAAGAAGACTTACTGGCTTTTAGTATATTTTGATGAAACTTTAATACGAAATCATAAAGTGCATCACTAGGCTAAGGCAAAAAAATTAGGTGCTTTGGTCAAGGAGGAGTGAATATATTTGAAATTGAACTTACACATTCATATCTTACATGTTGATGCATGGCAGAAAAATTGCAAGTCTTCCCTTTCTCAGCATTTGTCGATTCTATTTCAACATCTCCATGACATTTCAGATGTGACTGGCAACGCCAAGGAGCTAGCTGTCTCCTTATCTCCTCCCCCCTCCCCCCCCCCCTATAATTTTAAAGTGAATGGGGTAGTACCAAATGACATTCTAAGATATCTGTTCTGCCATCCTTCCTGACCTAGCCCCTTGACTTCAACCTTCTTGCCTCTTTTACACAACTGTTCAATCATGAATTTATCAGCTCGTACCGACCTAACCAACTAATTTTTTGGATTTGGCCAAATGATGAATTTCATGATTAACTATTAATGTTTCGCCAAAATGTACCAAGAGCTAGTAAGCCCCCTTTAGTGTGCAGAGTTCGTTTATATTTTTATTTCAAGACTGTCTAAGGAAAATGAAAGCCGGACAGTTTTATTTCCAGTCGCTCTGAATAACAACAAACATTTTTTTTTTTTTCTTTGAAGGTAGCACAAACAGAAGTTTAGGTTCTGAAGGAATTCGAAAATCAAAAGAAACTTTAAACCCTGTTAGGAGGTCTGATGGACTAGGTATTAATGGTTTTTGCTTTTTTAATTTATACCTTCTGTTACTGCACATGAAATCTTTTCCAGTCTTTTAAAGAAGGAAAGGAACCCTCTGTTCTTTCAACTATGTAAATCCGGCTTTGAAGTTAAGTACATAGTCCTTATTTAATTTCTTGCTCCAGGCAGTTTACTTTATTCACTAAATTGCTCCGTTTCAAGAGCAGAAACCTCATTACAAATAAGCTATCCTGAGAAATTCTAGCAAATGTTCACTTATTATTTTGCCATCGCTCAAATCTTAAGCCTACCTGCTTATTTTTCTCTGCTTTTGTTTGCTTGCTGCTGTAGTTTTTGCCTATGATTATAACCAATGTTTCTCTCTTCGATGTCTGCATAAAGTAGAAGCTTGATTCTTCTAAAGGCAGAAGTCAAAATTGAGTCTCAAATATGGCATTTTAGTTTAATTCCTAGTATCAACAAATCATTGAAGAATCAAAATCAATGATGCGTGTAATTTCCACATCCATGTAAAATCAAAGAAAGTTGATGATCAAAATCCCAATTGATTACATGAAAATCTCAATGGATCAAATTGAAATTTCTACTTGCATCAAGGGAAATAAATAAATGACACTTAATATCTTTGTCAGTATTTTAAAAGCAAAGTTGAAACAGGATTAGTCATTATTAAGAGATCAATTCGTCATCTAAAACTAGTTAATATTCAAGAATTAGTCTGTGTTTGTCGACAAATCACTCCACCCTGAGACTGTATTTCGAGTATTCATCAATTTTTCATGGTAATATTTATTGGGGGAGAAAAAACATAATCAACTCGAAAATAGAATTTAAAAGCAGTCAAATGATAGACTTTCACGTTTCAAGTTGAACTGAATTCATATGAGTGGTACTTTTAAAATTCATGCATAGAAAACTAAAATTTGCCCAGGGCCTTAAATTTTTGACAGAATTCATCATTTAAAACATTGCTCAATTTTTCTTTCATAGCCAAAGCTTATGTTTTCATTTTATGTAGTTTAGTCTCTCCATCTACCCTTCGCATGCTAAGATCTTCACGTTGTTTTAAGGATTCTAGAATGTTTGAGTAGTACTCTGTTAGTTATTAGGGAAAATGTCTCCAGAAATTTACAGCTGTTCTGTCAAAACTTGTATTAGAGGCTGCATCCCCAATTTAAGATATTTTGTAGCTTCAAATGTCACATTGAGTGTTTCCTTATTGTCTTGGGCGTTTACACTTGTCTTTCAAAAAAGTCGACGAAATATGAAAGATTTTAAGCATGGATTTTGATATTGCTCTTTTAATATCATAGGGGAATGAGAGAGCCAGTTCAGTGAAAGCTCGTTGAGTCGAACGATGATTAAAACAAACACATCTGTATTTTTGAAGGAATTATACAAGTAAGCACTTCAACATCTGGGACTTTTGATGTCCTTCGATGATTTGTTGAAAGTGAAAAGATGAAATTTGAAAACCTACTGAAAAATGTTTAAATGTGTAATCAATTCTTGAAAAATTTGAGAAAGTTACTCAAAAATCACTTATCAGTTTCCTGAAATCGCTTATTTCGAATTTTTGAGCTTATTTCTTGCAAAGTGGTATAGCGGACAAAAGGAAAAGCCGCATTAGTAGTTTCATGAGCCTAGAAATAATGGGTGCCAGCCAACTGTTGCTCATTAAAAATGTTTGAAGCTTTAGTTTTTGTCCTCCTCTCTATCCTTCTAAAATTAGTAGCTATAAATAATTAATCTTCATGTCTCTTACAATATTGTAGATGGTCAAAGATTTGCTAAAATCTTAGGACATATCTGATTTTCCTCCTTTCATGTTCTGTTTTTTTAATTGTTTCTCTGTTTCTTTTACAGTTCCAAGAGCTCAACCAAGATCAGTAAACCCAGCTGCAAGACCAGGAGTAGGTCGAGGAGATAGCGGTAAAATTGAAGAACTAAATAATCAAGTATGTGTTTTACTTTTGTATCCCATCTCCTTTTTTTCTTTGCTGTTGTATCTTAAGTAGTCCGTCTTGAAAAAATGTAATTTTAGTTCCGTGAGCTGATCAAATAAATCCAGGCTTTTTTTTAGTACTTTCAATTTTTACTCATTGAACAAAACTAGTTACGGCTCCTGTATGGCATTCTTTTATAGTAGCTGTCTGAGAGTTGCTGTAGTCAAGAATAGCAGGGTTATTTCAGGGAGCCTTAAAACGTCAGTGAAAACTAAGGAATGTCAGGGGAAAAGTGAAACGCGGCTGGAAAAAATGTAGACTAACTTTTTGTGCTTTCTTGAATGTGTTTGATATTTCATGCAATAAATTCTGTGTTCGGGTGTGGAAGTAATGATTTTTAACCATCCTGCTAATCGCTATAGTCCCTTTATACTGAGAGTCAAGACAACACCCCCTCATGGAGTCACAAGAGGGAATAAAGATTACAGAAATTGAACGTTTTTTGTAATCTTTGATTGGCCCATTCTCAAATTCCTCTCTCTGTTCCCTCTTTCATTCCGTTTGTTCCTTGCCGAACCCATAATTCCCTGGTCCATTCCAGATTAAAATCTTTGCAATCGGTGAAAATGGAATCTTTATTCCCGTTTGTGACACTGTGAAGGCCTAAAATACGAGAACCAATCAGAAATGGATTCACATTGTCTTGACTCTCAGTATAAAGGGACTCTACTAATCGCTAATTGTCTGGGAATGGGCCTGTTGCAAACTTTTGCTAGAGCAAAAATAAGAGTTGTTCCTTGTAGATAATGTCTCAAAAATCTGATGAGCGCATCGGCAAATTCTGAAATGCATTCCTAATTTCACAATCTGCAAGAGAAATTTGCGTTTTATAAGCTTTCTGCTTCAAAAAGGATACTACAGCACAGGTAAAAATTTCGTTGGCGGAGTCGTTCCATTCAATCCCTGCCCAACATGGCGCGCAAGTTGAGGAGTGAACGAGGTCAATCAAGGCGGATACCTAACAACGCGAAAAAAATGTGAATGTAAACTTGCCGATTGTTATCAGGTGGTGAGAATCATTATCCTGTCACATGTGTTTTGGCGGATTGGCGGCGGCTTTGTTGAGTATTGCGTAGTATCCTTGTGAGCAGGGGTTGGATGGAATGACTCCTCTAACGAAATGTTCACCTGTGCGGTGATATTGTTTTTGAGGCGGGAAGCTCAAAAAGGCGCCAATTTCTCATGCTAATCGTGAAGTAACGAGTGCATTTCAGACTTTGCCCATGCGCTCATCAAGATTTTTGAGACATTTTCTATGAGTACTAACTCTTATTTTTGCTCTAGCAAAAGTTTGCAACAGGCCCATTGTATCAAAATAAAACGGGGAAATGTCAGAGGTCTCATTTTCTGAATTCTGTGGAAAACAAGATTGATAGTTGTGATAAAATTTTCTACATGCCCTATCAAAATCACCAATCCAATTTATTCAGCAGATCACTCTTGCCCAAGTTAATTTCTTTTTTTCTGAAACTCTTACTGTGTATAATCTAGTTATTATCTCAACTCCTAATTGTTTCTATTTTTTCAGATGATGGAATTAAAAATAACAGTAGATGGACTAGAAAAAGAAAGAGATTTTTATTTCGGGAAACTGAGGGATATAGAAGTACTGTGTCAAGAACAAGAAGGAGAGTCGCCAGTGTTACAAAAAATTTTAGATATTCTTTATGCTACAGAGGTAAGTCCTTCTTTAAATCTTGCACAACTTTTACAAGTAATCTGCCGTGATAGCGAAGAGAGCAGTAAGTGCAAAAATGAAGTTTTGAGAAAACGGAATCAGAAGCTTCTGACCGGCAAATTTTATTGAAAGAAGCCTCCGTACTTTGTCTAATTGAAACTAATGGTCTGAAAGATGCCTACAAATCTTTTGGATGATTAAAAATTGACTGATTTTATTTTCATTTCATTGTTTTTGTACATCTGATGAGAGGATAGACGTATACCCAGTGGTCTGTAAGATGGCATTCCTGTGGCCCCATTTACACACTGTAATATTACAACCCCACCAAAGCAGGACTGCATCATCGGTGGCATTTCTGCGCATTTGACACAAAATGCTAGAGTATAAAATTCCTGAACGAGCTTATTTTGCACAGCTTGTCAGGAGAAATTTGCTGCAGAGCAAAATTTGTTAGGACTAGAGTTGGGCCGAAATAGATTTTTCGGGTCACTGGAAATGGATATTGATTTTTTGTATCCGGCTAAAGTCGGCAGACACGAATATTCATTCTTTTTGGTCAGTTAACATTTGGTCAATCTGTGAACCTCTTACTCATTGCGGTGTTTCTGACTCTTGAAAAACTTAAAGCCAAGATCATTGGCTGTTAAGTCGAGTTGAGAACTTTCTCCAGCCTTTACCTAACCTTTGAGCAGAATCAAGTTGAGTCGGGTCAAGTTGGCCAAACTCAGTATAATTTGACTCATAACTAGACTTTAGCACAGCCATAATGGACTTTTTTTAAATTCATTTTCATTTTATTTTCTAGGATGGATTTGCACCCCCAGAGCAAGTTGAAGGGAACGGCGAACAAGAAGATTATTGAAACAACTACTTATTAATCAACTGAAACGAAAGTTTTGTATTTACTAATTTATATTTATTTATACTCTTACTTAATTTATGTCGGGAACAAGCCATTTCTAGCTGGAAGTGCATGTGTTCCGCCTTATCATATTTATATTTTTCTTCCTTTTCCCATTTTTGCTACCTACCTGTATTCTCTTCGCTCTTTTGCCGCCTTACCCTTTGTAACTTTTAGTTATTGTTTTCTCCCAAAGTGAAAGAAACTAATCTTTAATCAAAGTTAGCATTACTTGTCGGTTACTTTTTTCCGCAAAATTTGTTAATGATCATTTCTTTTAAATAAAAAGCGAGCAAATGACAATATCACGACTTTCATTACTTACACAATTTCTTAGAAAATAATTTCTATTTTCAAGGTGACAAGTCTTTCAGGCATGGCAAGTATTAGATTTCACCAAAAAGAAAAGTTGCAAGGGAAAAATTACCTAAGAAATACAGTACCTCATGTTTGTTCAATCTCAAAGATGTCTCCAAAACTGGTAATGTTTCATAAATTACTTGATTGTAATGGATGTAAATCATTACAAATTTATCTGAATTCCATAATTATAGTACGGACTATTGAGGCACTTGAATTTATCACCAAAACCTTCCAGTGCTGCTCTGAATTCTTTTTACAATCATTTTCTTTGACTATCCAAATGAATGTTTGTACATATTGAAACTTTTCAATTGAAACCTGCACCAAAATTTTCCTTCAAACCAATGTAACTGCATGTTGTTTTGAATATATCAGCGGTGGAATTCCTAAACCACAAATCTTAGTTTGCCATGTTGCAGAAATCCTGTCATACTTTATTCCTCAAATGGAAAACTTCTCAACATCAAATCTTGAAACCTTCCGTGATATTTGTTTTTTATGTGAAAACTTTAAGGAAGGGTGTTGATTTGTTCTTGTTTAAAAAATTTAAAGGGGAGCGGAAATTTTAAAACACTGCAAAGGAGATAAGTGGTTCGGGAGTTTCACCGTTGATATTGTTGAAACACATCTTAGTTGAATCAATTATGTGGGTATTTTAAGCTCCGTAAGCAGTGAATACTGCTGTGTGGAATTTTTCTCGCAGTAACGGACCCTTGATCAACGATTTAATAGTATAGTCAGCGGTTTTCCCCTTTATTTTAGTTTATTAGATAAAAAGTGTTAGTTTGTAAAAAATCGAAGAGATAAGAGCATTTTCTCTTTTTTAAGGGAATTCATTGTTTTTATACAGTAGACTACATTGGCTATGTGGCAAAGCAACTTCAATCGAGACAGAATTACTGATTCTGAATAATAATTATTCAGTTGAAGCAGAATCATATTCAATAAGTGATCAATGACTGAACCAAGAAAATATCCATCTTGCCTACCATGTTTTAAAATTTCCTCTCCTATTTTCATTGCCAGAATTCCTCACAGTTTCTCCTGTTAGGAAAGAAAATCGCTGAAGATTCCAAAGAATGACGTCTATTGATTTTTCCGTCAAAAATGAAGTATGAAAGGAAATTAGGTACGTTTCAGTCAAGACTTGTGTTTATAGAGTTGAACCATCACCTGTTTTTAAATATTTTTATTCATTGATTAGTTAGTTCACACAATTAAGTCAAAAGTAGTATGTTACGGTTTGTTTATAGGACTTTGAAAGAACGAATTGCTGACCAGCAGGGTGTCACTTGGTAATCTGATCCCTGATTATTGTTAAAAGCAAATCCTTTGAGGTGATTCTTCAAGTGAAGTGGTCGAACTGGCATGCTATGTACCGCATCGATTAGGTGAAAAATCTGTCGAGATTTTTGACCTAAAAGATGCGATTTATCGCATGCCAGTTCGACCACTTCTTTTGAGCTTGACGAATCACCTTAAAAAAGAAAGGAAAGTGGAAACAGGTCTGATTCCTTCTGATCAGTGCAAGACAAGTATCACTTATCTAGAGTATTTATTCGTGCATTGCATGACAGTTATGCCCATTCTGAATACTACTGTTTGAAGCCCGGCCGATACAGTCTATTGCTTGTTGATAAATGAATAATTAAAAAGATATTTTTGATGTCGAGTTGAACAGGTTGTCAACTTTATATATTTTATTATTGTCAAGTCCGAAACTATTTAATAGTAGCAGCGGAAGCATTGATGCGCAAACTTTTATGTAAATAGTCAACTGTTTTAATTATCTGTACTTTACAGTTTGTAATTTAAAATTTTATAATATTTATTTATTATTTTTTACTTTTGTTAATGTCTAAGAGCAAAAATGGAGGAGAGTAATAATAAAGAGTGAAATGATTCAATTTAATCGCTAGTTTTATCATTTATCCTCCTCTTCGTCTTAAGATATTATGCATCCTAACATTTTCTGAATGACGAGTTTCACAGATCAAAGAGTTGCATAATTTTTTTAGAAAAACTAAAATGTTGCTAATATCGAGTGTACTAAATTTTGCAATCCACTACTTTCTCTATACAGATAGGTGCCTTTACGGATGAGCCAAACATAGTACTTAGTTCCTTTTTAAATAGGTCAAAGAAGTAGGCCAGTAGATGCTATTTTTTTTTAAAAAAAGATTTCGACTAATAAGCCAAATGCGTTTCGATCCAAAGGATCATCTTCAGTGGCATTGCAATCGACATTTAACAGTTAACAATTTACCGATAAGCTTTATTAAAAAAAGGTCGAGTCTTCAGCGCCTGATATGTGAAATTTCATGTTAAATTTTTTTGCAAAATTTCAATGAATCATTGATAAAATTGAAGGCCATTTTTCATGAATTAATGAAACTTACTGAAATTTCCAGGGCCATCTCAGACAGGGAGTCTTACTGTACGTTTCTCTACTTATGCTTCATAGTTATTGGTCAAACTTTGGAACATCAATAGGCCTCTGAGGATGATCTTTTCAATCAAAATACATTTGGCTCATTAATTAACACCTTAAAAACTGCATCTCCTGGCCAACCCTTGCAACTTCTTCATAGAATATTATGTAGATGCTTTTCGTGCTCCTGAAGAAATCAGTTCTGTACTGCGAAATGTAACTTATCTTAACTTGCTTTCTTTTGTTGTTTTGGTCCGATCCTTTTTTATAAAGGATTGGACTAAAATCACAAAAGAAAGTAAGTTAAAATAATCATGACATCCGACAGAATGAAAAAACCCTTTAGCTTTAAATGTAACTTGTCTTTTTGTAATTGCACCTCATGAAAAGAATCAAACCCAGAGCCCGTATTTTGAGCTCAAAAAGAGTGAAGTAGGAGTGTCCCATCAGTTTTCAGTTGAGAAAAGGAACGGTGCAGCTGAAGAGATTTAGCGATAAAAAAAAAACCCTTATTGATAGCTATCGAGAGATTACAGAGCTGGCGAAAATACTGACATGCGTATCAGTTATACAAGCCAAGCAACCAAGTGGATTGACTTATGAGTCAACGTAGCTTTGATTTTGAGCTCACGCAGTACCCATTGATCGAACTTGTTCTTTGTCACAACCGCTGTCTTAATTAAAACTTAGAATTCGATTGAGAAGGATTGATATTCAAGAGTCAGGAACTGAAAAAAACAACAATTTACCAACAGGTATAATGTATTTTCAACCGGCAAATGGATTGGTAGTAAAAAAAAGGAGAAAAAAAAATGATGTACAAAAATTATTAATTATTAATTAAAAAATAAAATTAAGATTAGAGTGTGGGAGGAGAGAGAGCACTATGGGCTCTTTGGCGGCAGTGGTTCCGATGCTAAGCTTTGTATCGTGATATCAGGCAGGTCTTTGATTCCATCCTTGCTGATCACTTGGACTTTGAAATTGGCTAGATTGATAACAAGTCGCTTGTGGATTTCGCGGACACACATTTTAATTAATTCATATGCTTCAGCCTGAGTCATATCTACAAGAAGAGAGAAATAAAAAATAGTGAAATTCATCATTATTACAAACTAGTAAAGCAGGAAAGCTATTGTTCGTCGCATTACATCAAACCACTAGCTCATGTCTCTCATTTTCCAAGTGTCCTCACAAAGTTTTGTGATAATACCGAGGAAAGTTTTGAAGGAGGGGTGAGCTTCATTCATGTGATCAGAACCAATGTGTGCACTAAAAAAAATTATGAGGTAAAAGAAAAAACTCACTTGCAACACTCTTAAAATTTACATTTCACCCATAACATTAAAACATCAAAGGGGAATTTACCCAAATCATGCATTTTGATGTTTCGGGTTCCTTGGGCAAGAATTATACATTTTGACTTTGACAAGTGAGATTTTGTTTCTAGACTTGGACGTTTTTCCAAGTTTCAGTTCTGCTTTTCTTTCTTCATTGAAGGAAATCAGTAAGTTAATCTTGAGACAAGAAGGTACACTTTCAAATGTGTCAATGATGGGACGCCAAGACCCTGTATCTCCGTTTGTGGCATAAGAAACTAAATGCTATTGTGGGAAATAGCGTTTTTGTGTGCTTACAAAAAATCAAAGTCCACTCCTGTTATATCGAGCACTTAACTAATTTTCATCTAGTTTTTTTTTACATAAATATATAGTTTTTTTAAAAGTTTTTATATATATTCGGCAATATCTGCGCAAAAATTTGATGAGCATACATGCCTCTTAGACGTTATTCTTACCCTAGCTTGGTGGTCTATTTAATCAATGTAAGTGCATCATTAACTATGGACGACTTCTCAGGATAAATTTCAGAAAAAACTGATGAGCTGTACTTACTTTCCCTGTAATATCTATCCAAAATACTGACAGTGATGAGACCTCCATAACCGTGGCAAGCATATGGAAGGTCCATAAGAGATGCCAGATAATCAATGAAGAATAGCTTGGCTCCTTCATCTTCTGAATATCCTCCGATCAGCATGTTGACATTGTAAGGGGTCTAGAAATAAAGAAAAGTAAAATTAATCATCACTGGAATATTTTTAACATATGGAAAACATTGAAATTCAAAACAGTGTACTTTCTGTCTACGTGATGCTTCCAACTTGCAATGTGCCAATGACCGCAGTTAGAACAGGGTCATAAAATATTGAAACAAATATCAATCTCTGATTGGCTCTGAATCTGCACCACTCGAGAGGTTAATACATGCAGGCAGAGGGCACTGTTGATGAGGAGTGACGTGAACAATACTTGACTTTCATCTAGAGGTACACTAACTGGGTTCTAGTACTTAAAACCTGTCAAGAGGAAATCAAAGAAGCCCAGCACTAAAAGGTCGGAAGTTTGTATCTAGACTGATTGTCCGCTTGATCATTGACTTGCATGATGCTACACATGGCGTCTCTTGAGTGCTGTACCTACCTTTGTAGAGTCTAGCTTCAATCAAGGCCAGGTTTGACTTTTGGCTTACGCTCATGCTACTAAAGTATATCCATTCCCATTATAACTGCCAAGAACAAAATATTTGCCCAACATAAGTCAAACGGAAAGACTTTCTAAAGCAGTCAGGGTGACTGGAGAGTAGAGGTTCCAAAAACTAATTACAAGCTACTGTAAGAAATATTCCACTAACAAATCAAAATAGTGTGCAGACTGGTAAACCTCATGGCTTTAGTAGATAGTTATGTCCCCTGCTTGACAGTTTAGTAGTAAAAAAGATGAGTGGTACATCTTGAGGCTGAAATAAATAACTTGTAAATGACTTACCCTACTGCGCAAGTAATCTGCGAGGTTGCGTCTTGTGTAAACAGCAGCCGCTTTAGGAGAAAGAGAATAACCATTGCGCATTTTATACAGTTGGATGTTTTTAGATATGAACTCAGCAAACTGAACAGTGTCACCACTTTCACCAGCAATCGCCATGACTAACTTATCAGATATTTTGAACAGTTTTTCTTCATCTGCAAACAAAGCAAAAGGAAAGGTGGCATCAGAGTTTCATCCTACTTTACACAGTTCAAAATGGGATCTCAAAGTGCCTGCAATGAGCCTGTCCTATGGTGACTGTGAACGAACAAGGCAGGAATGAAAGGCAGAGAGAACGGTGTTATGTCTGAGTTTTCGAAGTTGAACTGATACACCTCTATGAGAAATCCGGGAGTAAAAGTCACTTCAGATCAATAATTTACTTGGTGTCTACCACATCCTGATTGTAAAATGATAACTGAGAGAATCTCGGCAGAAGATGTTAGGATAAAAGTGATTAAAATCAGAGCGGAATCTAAACACTACTACTTACCATCTTTCACGACAAAAAGGCTGTAGGCATTCGTTTTGTCTGAAGCTAGAACTACAAAATCCTTGAAAGCAACACCGATTAGACACTCCATAGTGCACTAAAGTTTAAACGAAATTAAAAAAATATGAATAAATAAACTATGAAAATAATCTATGACTGAAAATACTACTAGTCATCCCGTGCTATCAACTTCGGCAAATTGAGGTTAGTTTGTTTTCAAATTCCAAAAATCAAATACGGAACAGGAAAAGTGACCGTAGAGCGCAATATGTTTGAAAATATTTAAAAAATCTCTCTTTCAATTTTGTTTTGAGAGTACATTTAAAAATTGAAATTTTTTATTTTAAATTGAATTAGTTAAAGTTCTTAAGTCCTAGGAGATTTAAAAAATTATTTTTTAAAATTAACCACTCTGAATTCCCCGTGACCAACAGGGAATGCTTTGCTGTTGAATCAGCTCAGTTTGTTTTGTTTACAAGTCGTTTTAGTTTTCAAACCGGCGGCAGTAAGTACCGCCGCGAATAATTTTATCATTTAATTTAACTTCAATAACGATTCTTGTGTTTGCTCATATTCTTACTAGTGTTCATCATGTTTGAAGCCCACAGTATTAATGCAGAGCATAAGGATTTGATACACGATGTGGCGTATGACTTCTATGGTCGTCGAATGGCCACATGCTCTAGCGACCAATTCGTCAAAGTAAGTGATTTTCTTTTATGTCAGAGTTAACAACTCGACAATTTTCCCGAAAATTTCGCAGAGATTTTCCTATCATGCATCTATGAGAATTTGCTCTTCAGTAACTTGAAAGTTATCAGTCCTTCAAATTGTCAATGAAGTAACGCTGAGAGCACACTTGTTCTGCGATTATCAATGAATTTGATTGTTTAAGCTCTTGTAAACCCCCGAAAATTGAAGGCAGAAAATCTACTCCAGAATGTATGCAACGATGTTAAAAGTACCGGATCTTGTACCCTGGGGAGGCTGACTTTCGGAAAAGTAAACAGACTGTCTATATTTCATATCTTTGACAATAGTATTATAACAATTCTTGAAGATAGCGAAGACAAGCTGAAGGATACGGGTTTAGAATTATGTTTTGCCTTCCGACCTTTCTGAATTACTTTGTCCAAGATCCTCCGGAAAACCACCGCAATTTTAAGGAAGTGTTCGACAAAACTCTCCCCGCATGTTCATATGTATTGCCATTTTAGATTCGGATAAGTAATTCTCAACTTTGTTAAATACTCGATGCCTTCTAATTCTTACTGTGAACTACCCACAGGTGTGGGACCAAGATGAAAATGGAGACTGGAATTTATCTGCAAGCTGGAAAGCACACAGCGGATCAGTATGGAAAATCACATGGGCTCATCCCGAATTCGGTCAAGTCTTAGCAACATGTTCATTTGATCGCACCGCTGCAATTTGGGAAGAGATAGGCAAGTATCTTTCAATTTATGAATGCTATAATTTGAAAATGCTGGAAATAGTGGAAACAACTTTGCTTTAACATTCATCTGAGTTTCATAATACTCATCATCATCATACAGCAATAAGTATATCGACGGTGTAAGTCGGCAATCACATAACTCGGTTTGCAACGTTGCAGACTTCCTGTCATACTTTATTTTTTAAACGTAAAACTGCCTAGCGGAAATTCTTTATAACTGCCGTGATTTTTCTTCTCTGTGCGAAGAAAATTCTGCAAAAACTTCAAGGAGTGATGTCAATTTATTCTCCTTTAAAAAAATAACATGGAGGTGGAGATTTTCAGACACCGCAAACGAGTTATGTGATTGCCGACTTACACTGTCGATATAGACGACAAGACTTTGAAATCACGCATTGATTGCTGGAAACAAGAAACACCAAGTTTCTGCACCTTTTTCTTGGAAAATAACTCAATTTTTACTGTTACAGTGGGAGAAGTTTCAAACCCTGGAGAAAAAGGAATGCGCCACTGGGTTCGACGCTCTAATTTAGTAGATTCTCGCACATCAGTCACTGATGTTAAATTTGGGCCAAAATCCTTGGGATTGCTCCTTGTCACTTGCTCATCAGACGGTGTCATAAGAATTTACGAGGCGCCAGACATAATGAACCTTAGTCAATGGACACTCCAACATGAGATCTCCTGTAAACTCTCCTGTAGCTGTTTGTCTTGGAATCCATCATTTTCCAGGTGATATAACATTGTCCAAGCGCAAAATCTTTCATATCGGTTTGCAATTTTGCAGAATTACTGCTATGCTTCATTTTTTCTCAGGAAAACTAGTTAATGTAATTTCTTGAAAACTTCCTTGATTGTTCTTCATTGTGAGCTGAATATTTTTTACAAATTTTAAGCTATAAAGTTGGCTTTATCTCTTTGAAAAAATAAAATAGTCGCAGAAATTTTGAAACACTGCAATGAAGATTGTCGCTTTGCGTCTTTTACATCTGTTACAATCATCTTTACAAATTTATAAACCTATTATCAAATGATGGATAGTATATCAAATAGTTGTCAAAAGTCCTATAAAACCATCTGAACAGATGATATCTTCACTAGTGAATTGATAATTGAATCACCACCGTCAGGATTGCCACGGTCAGGGAATACCGAGAAATGTCAGGAAACTTTGAAAAGTCAGGAAAAACCTCGAAATGTCGGGGAAATTGACGGAGGTTTTCGGGAAAAAATCGTAAGTCATCTTTACTTATTTGCTTTGTAGAATCGGTTTAACGATTCAAATAATAGGTTTTGCATGGGAACTATTTTAGATTATGTCTTTTAAATCATCTGGAATATCTTCAATTGTCAGGGAATTTCACCCAATTGTGGCAGAGAAATTGGAGACTTTTCAGGAAGTTTCATTTTCTAAATTATTAGGCAACCCTCGGAATTGAAGTTTTATAGGTAAATCATTATGTTCTTTCCTCTCTTGTGAATTTTCTATAAATAATACTTAACTCGTCTCTTTTTTACCAGGTTACATCCTCCAATGATAGCTGTAGGTAGTGATGATCCTAATCCTAACACAGGGAGTAAAGTCTTAATCTACGAGTACAGTGATAACTCCAGAAGATGGTCGAAAACTGAATCAATATCTACTATTACGGATCCTGTCCATGACATTTGTTTCGCACCGAATCTTGGTCGTTCCTATCATCTCCTGGCTGTAGCCACCAACAATGTCAGAGTTTTCAAATTGAAACCATTGCAGTAAGTCAATCTTAACATGTAGCATTTAACATGAAACCTAAAATTCCAGGAAACTTAAAGGTGATTTTAAAGAAATAGCAACGCCTGAACCAATGACTTGGAGTGTGGTTCTGAATAATTTCAGTTTCAAAAGATAAGTTCTAAGACCGTTGTTGCAACCCATAGGTGCAGGAAATATGTTAAAAAGTAGGATCCAGATTCAGTATACAATTAGGGCAGCTAAAATTGTTCTTTTTTAATTTCATCATCTTATCCTGAACTTTTTTCAGAAGTTTCAAGAAATTTTTGGAAGTTTCATGAAGGATGCAAAAAGTTCATAGCCTTTGCGTTTTTTAAATTGACTGTCCCATAAAAAACAAAAAAAAAAACAAAACAAAAAACACCTTATCCTCTTTCAAAGTGACAACCTTTTTTCCCCCGCTGTATGTAAAATTTTTTACTACCTACCAAAGAATATGCAATTTTTACTGCTGTTTCACATTAAATACGAGTTTTTTCACCTTCATTCCGCCAGCATTTTTTCCCCATAATTTTCACAGTGGTGCCTGGAGCCTTCTCATTTTTTAAGACTTTCCCATTTTCGCAGCCAACTGACAGCAATAGTCAAGAAGTCTCTGCACATCTGAGTTTCAAAATTGTCTATTTTTGGGGGGACATTATGTAAGAATCTTTAGAACTTTCTCACTTTTTGGAAAAAATTGGAATGTTCTGCTTGTGTAAAAAGCTCTTAATCTGACCAATCGTTCAGAAAATGATGAAATTTTCCCACCTCTTGGTTAAAAAATTGGTGTATCATTTTAATTAATTTAAAAATTTTCTCACTAGGTAAGCTATTGGATTTTTCCAGTATTTCTTTTCTAAATTGGCTTAAATAAGATATTTCTACCTTTTTTCAAATAAGTGACTCAAGTCTTACTTTTTAAGTCCTGTGTGCTGCAAGAATTTCTCATTTTCAGTCAGTGTGTGTTTTTCATCTTATGAAGTCGTAGTGTGCTTAAATAATGACCATTTTCAGCCAATACTTGTTAGTACTCTGTACCTCGTTGCATCGAATATGAGGGAAATTCAAGGCCTTTTGTATTATTTCTCAAAAATGTAGAAAGAAATTTTTTACCCAAACCCTGGCAACCGACACTCATAATCAATATCCAAGACTGATGTCATAGGAACTTATGTTGCCCACGCTTGAAAATCACTCATTAGACATCAGAATTAGACGTCCTTTTAGAAAAACTCCACTTTAATTTTCCCAAGTGTGCATTAAAATTTCTAACACCTTTTTTTTTTCTCCAGGGAAAGTGGAGGAGTAGTACAAAGATTTGACATTCAAACAGCCGCTGTTTTTGACGACCATTATTGCACAGTTTGGCGTGTCAGTTGGAACGTCACTGGAACAATCCTAGCATCCTCAGGAGATGATGGCTGTGTTAGACTTTGGAAAGGTATTTTTCTTTTAGATTATTCAGACAACCTCTTTTCATTCTGTTATAAAAACTAGGTAAATGAAAAAATTACAATTATAAAAAACCCGATAGTTTTCTGAAGCAGTTTTAAAATATCAATATCTAAAATATTCCCTGCTGACCATGAAGAAGAGGTTGATTTATCTATTTAGAGTGTATATTTTTAAAAAAAGACACAGTCATTTTCCAAGCCTGCTCTTTGGCCATGTACAATTTACCTATTGAACAAGAAGAAAACACTAAAAATGTGGCCTGAACTGTATGTAACAAGGTGGTAAAATAGTGCTGGGTCTACACTGTTCTGCAGGGAAAAAACAAGGCCAGAAAGTTGAAAAATTTCAATTAGAGTAAAAAATTTTGAGCTCTACTGAGTGTCAGTACAAGACTGAAGGGGAGAGGTTTCAGCTCAGACAGTTGTATTGGAATATTAAGTTGACATGATGCGGAGAGATCTATGTATAACCTTTTGGGTCTTTTTAGACTTACAAGGGGAACTTCCCAAGCTGCCGCCTCCGATCGGGCTGAAAAAATTCATACGAACTCTTTGGATGAATTTATTTGACCCGTATTTTTTTGTTTTTTCCAACGCCCCCTAGAAACCCCCCAAAAAAATTCCGGAAAGTCTTGCTTTGAGCGCTCGAGCGTATATACGTAGTATGGCAATCAGTTCTTATCAGTCGGCGGTGGCTCTGCGGTAGCGCGCTTGCCCGGTGGATCAGCGGTCCCGGGTTCGAATCCCGGGCGCCGCGCCTACTTTTTACGACCGAATTTTATATTCTCACACATTTTCACATCGAATCCCATTTATTACAGTGGAACTTAAAACATCAATTAATTTACAACCATCATCAAACACAAATTGATCTACGATCAATAACTTCTTCAATTTGAAGTATAGATTTTTTTTGGGGGGGGGGGGGGGGATACGCGCGCGATTATCTCGCCAATCACTGTACTTTTACATTAGCCGACGACCCGCTCCGCCCCCTCACATCAACATATTTCTCCCGATCACCCGTATGCGTCATGATTTTTCCCGTCATTATCCACAAAAAAAATCTATACTTCAAATTGAAGAAGTTATTGATCGTAGATCAATTTGTGTTTGATGATGGTTGTAAATTAATTGATGTTTTAAGTTCCACTGTAATAAATGGGATTCGATGTGAAAATGTGTGAGAATATAAAATTCGGTCGTAAAAAGTAGGCGCGGCGCCCGGGATTCGAACCCGGGACCGCTGATCCACCGGGCAAGCGCGCTACCGCAGAGCCACCTCCGTCTGATAAGAACTGGTTGCCATACTACGTATATACGCTCGAGCGCTCAAAGCAAGACTTTCCGGAATTTTTTTGGGGGGTTTCTAGGGGGCGTTGGAAAAAACAAAAAAATACGGGTCAAATAAATTCATCCAAAGAGTTCGTATGAATTTTTTCAGCCCGATCGGAGGCGGCAGCTTGGGAAGTTCCCCTTGTTAATCATATGCTGAACATTCTTTCCCTCCAGTCTTGTGCTGACGCTCATTAGAGCTCAAAATTTTTTACTCTAATTGAAATTTTTCAACTTTCTGGCCTTGTTTTTTCCCTGCAGAACAGTGTAGACCCAGCACTATTTTACCACCTTGGTACTTAACTATTAAATTAATGCAGGTAATCAAGAGTCCGTACAACATCATCCCAAATTAATCCAAGTTTTTGTATCTTGAAAATAGCATGTGCTCTGAGGAGCTATCAGGAATTTGGTCTGAGTTGATAGTAAAAACAAGAAGGGAAAACAAATATAAGCATAAGGTTTCATTTCGTTTTAAGAAAGGCCTCTTTTTTTGCAAATGTTTTGAACATTAATTTTATCTCCTGATGTAGCATTGAAATGCTGTCTTTACTTTAGTTTAAGAATTCCAACTAGTATTGGCTCTCCAGTATTTTACAAAATTGTTGTCTCTTGCCCAAAGTATGTATGTAGATTTTGCTGTTTTAGTATTTCTTACATTTTATTTTGTTATAAGAGAACCTTCATAAAAATTTGCCTAAAATTTCCAGCTATTTTCCTTAACTTTTGTGAAAAAAGGAACAAAATTTTCAGTCAAATTTGTGCGATGGTTATTCCATGAAAAAATAAAATGTTTGTAGAAACGTGGAAACCGAGCATATAAAATGTGTTCCTTAGTGCAGGGCACAACGAAATGTGCTGTACAACTCGTATGTAAGACTTTGGTTTCTTTTTTTCTAGCAAATTACATGAATGTTTGGAAGTGTGTGGCAGTTCTGAAAGGAGATGGAACGTTACCTCAAACAGAGCCAACAACCGGAACGATTGCTCAGCCGACTCTCTTGTCTTCATCATCGTCAGCTAGATATTACAAATTAGGATCTATCAGTCATCCAAACCAAGTACCGTGGCATTGATAGTTGGTAAAATTGTTAAATGCATAGTGCTAAGAATTAGATGCGATAGATGTCTTAAAACAGAACTGCCAGGTTTTCTCAGAGGGGTTTTCTTTTACCATTTCAAAGAACCAGATGAGCTTTAATGATACTGAAACTTGACTTTCTTCAGTTATGTTGCATCTAGTTTTTATAGACTGATTTAGTGGCCACATCACTCTGGCAATATTCGACACATTAATGTGCGATTATTATCATGTATTGTATAAGTGATTTGCGATGGTTCAAACAAAAACAAACAACTATAACCTCATGTCTAAATTCTGTGAGTTAAATGTGATATTTCATTAAAAATGTGTCATTAACAAGTCGTTAATTAATTAATGAAGCATTGAACCCTAGAAATTTCAATTGCTAGAAATACGTAGACTCATTTTACCTCCGTGACACGGATAAGGCCAGATTTTGTGTACATTTACATTTGAACCATCATTTTAACCACTGAAACTGTTTTATGGGGCAAGTATGTAGTCATTAAATCAGCCTATTGCACTCATTTTTTCCTTTTTTTTGGAGGAGCCATTGGCATCCTGAACAATGCATTTGAAAGTGTTAAACCGTTTTAACTAGTTTTAGGTATGTATTTAAGTGTAATTTTTTATTTGGAATTAAACAGCTGCTTTTTAATAGTAGACCTAAAAACTTTTGTGCTACCAGGTAATTTGTAGAATTCACCGCTTAAGTTTCAGACCTCAGCTGAGACTGATGATATACAAACACTGTGTATCATGAAATGCTCCATCGAATTAAGATTTTGATAGCTTGATCGGGAATTGCTATTATCAGCTCTTTTCTATCACAAATATAAATCCTGCTATCAAATGCATACTGTGATCAAATTAGTAAGAGACCTTTCTTGGAAAGCAGGGTTAAAAATTACTCAACATAAATTTACTTGCACTTTTTATAAATCATAATTTATTTTTTGGTTTAGCCTTGGTTATGTGATGAGAAGAACATGGTAGAATATGATCATATTTAGGCGAAACATTTTGAATAATTAAGCTTTTGTGTTCCAAGGGACCACTGGGCTCTGCATTAGATATCAACAATCGATGGCATTTTTGACTTTGATTTAGCCTTTCTTTTAGCTCGGCATCTTCCAGGGTACATTCGATTCCATTTTCTGGGTACAATTCATCACCTGTGTACAAAAAATTTGATTCTTTTCATTAAACCAATCAAAAATAGATACATATTAACATTAGATGTTGACATACAGGGTGAGCGAAAAGTCCCCGACCCCCCCTCTAACTTTTGAACGAATTGAGCTAGGGAAATGAAACTTTGGGGATGTTCCTATCTCAAAGGGGACCATCTTTTGGGGGGTCAAAATTTTGGTCCCCCCCTCAGGGGGGCCCAAACTTTTTTTTTTCAAATGGCAACCCCTATCTTGCGATACCTCATTCGAAAGAGCATAAAAAACTAAGAATTTTGGCGCAAACCGCAGATCAATATCTAAATTTTTGACCGAGTTATGATAGGTCAAAGGTCAACTTTGACCTATTTTCAAAAAATCATAACTCCGGTTCAAATTATCGTAAAGGAAAAAATAAAACGGGAAAATTTACCAAATTGTGTCCGCTTTTAAGTAAAAATTGCAAAAATCACTTCGATTTAATTTTAAGGGGGGGCTCGGACCCCCAAATACGTCAATTCAAAGGTCATTCAATTTTCCCGCGAAATAAGCCAATTTCCCCTGGATTTGCCTCCACATTATCTCAGTAAGGTCATAATCAGTTCAACATTACGTTGGCAAGTCCCCAAATTTCGGGAAAAGTTAAAAAAAAATGAAATTTAAGGTAATTAAATTTGACCGTTTAAATATAATTTTTTTTTTCCTTTTCCCGAAATTTGGGGACTTGCCAACGTAATGTTGAACTGATTTTGACCTTACTGAGATAATGTGGAGGCAAATCCAGGGGAAATTGGCTTATTTCGCGGGAAAATTGAATGACCTTTGAATTGACGTATTTGGGGGTCCAAGCCCCCCCTTAAAATTAAATTGAAGTGATTTTTGCAATTTTTACTTAAAAGCGGACACAATTTGGTAAATTTTCCCGTTTTATTTTTTCCTTTACGATAATTTGAACCGGAGTTATGATTTTTTGAAAATAGGTCAAAGTTGACCTTTGACCTATCATAACTCGGTCAAAAATTTAGATATTGATCTGCGGTTTGCGCCAAAATTCTTAGTTTTTTATGCTCTTTCGAATGAGGTATCGCAAGATAGGGGTTGCCATTTGAAAAAAAAAAGTTGGGGGGCCCCCGTCCCCCCCTGAGGGAGAGACCAAAATTTTGACCCCCCCAAAAGATGGTCCCCTTTGAGATAGGAACATCCCCAAAGTTTCATCTCCCTAGCTCAATTCGTTCAAAAGTTAGAGGGGGGGTCGGGGACTTTTCGCTCACCCTGTACTTTAAGGTTGTGACTCCAGAAAACCTTATGTGGTAAAATTGAACTAACTGAAACAACTTGACAGCTTGCCTCTGATGTTTTTTGTTGTCCATAGAAGTGCTCATAAGAAAAGAAAAGGAAATATTTGCCTCCTGAAAACACTAAAAAAACGGCTGCACTAGGTACCGTGATGCAAACTTTTCTGTAGCTCAAAGAATTCAAAAACTTTTTGTGAGACGTCACGATGTAGTTCCATGAAATTGGTAAAACAAAAATAGGAGAATAAACTTGTTTACAATTCTCATTTTGCGGAGCCAAGTACAAAGTATGAAACAAAATTTATGTGCAGAATAAAATTACTTGTTTGTACCTCGCGCTGGGATAGTTTAGATAATTGATACTGACCTGGTAAAATTGAAACCATTTGATCGTCTAAAAAGCACATAATTGGGAAAAAGAGCTCACAGTCAGACTTATTACGCTGCTTGGCAAACCTTGAGAGCTCTGAGACATCTTTGAAATGCAACAATCGAGATAACTCGTAGAACTGCGGGTGTGACAGAGAGATTTCACCTTGGTCACTTTTATTGAGCAACTCTTCTGGAGGATACCACTGGAAAAGAGGAAAAATAAATATTTTTATCAAGTTGGAATTGGTAACTGTTGTGGAGATATATTAACTCCATTTTAGTAAAATGGTTGAGATAAGAAAGGTATTTACCTGTATACTTTTTTGAGAGTCTCCCTCTCCACAGAGCACTTAAGCTTTTATTTCAATGTAACATTTTGTAAGGAATAAGCAGTAAACTATGAGCCAAAATTTCGTTCTGACTTATTTTACAGAATTTTATTTAATAATTTCAATTTGGTCGTAAAAAATGTTCAAAATATATTTGGCCCAGCACCTCAGAGCAAGAAGGCACCCAAGTATCTCACATGTTTGAAGAAAAATCAAATGTTTCAAAAATCTCTCAAGAGGTTCCTACTTAGTTCCACCCATGCTGAGGAAATAATGTGCAGAGCTCAATTCAATATGAAAATGGTCACTGATGATTATACAAATGTAAATATAGCTTTTAAACTATCTTACTGCTCAGTGAACACAGATACAAGAAAGTCCTGATTGTAAGAAATGGAAATTTTATGAAATGAAACTTACACCCTCAGACCCAAAAAAGTGAAAATTAGAAGGAGTGAGGATCGATTTGTGAAATAAATTTACCCCCTCAGACTAAAAAAGTCAGGATCATAAGAAGTGAGCTATGTATACAATTAAGTAACTTACTCCAATTTCTTCAATTTCTATCGAGTCAGGAATGGCCCTGTAACAGTCTTCTAAAACAACTAGAAAGAAGGCAACATCAAATTTCTTGGCAGGAATATTTACTGGGGTCTTCCAATTGCTCCACAAACTGAGAGCTGTGACGTTTGGATAACATTTATTCTCGACACACAACTTTATAAAATTACTTGCATCTGCAATCACTTGTTGTCTCCACTGAGCTATCGATTCAATCTCCAAGTGTTTGTCAATATCTTGCTTCTTTTCTTCAAACCGTTTACAAAGTAAAATGCCACACTCCTCAAATGTTTCTCTAATAGCTGCAATCCGCAAAGATATTGCTTTTGGTATGCCAATCTCATTATTGCTCTTGAAAATCGGAAGGGTCACATTAGCGTTGAGAGTTTCAAAACAATTTCGGGAGGCTTCGCATGTTGATTGTGAAAAAACTCTTCGCCACTCTTCACTCGAGTCTGAATGATGGGTATGACCTCCAGGGAATACATAAAAATTCGGAAGAACAGAACTGTCGCTGTGGCGTTTAAGTGCAAGAACGGAAAGGCTACAATCTCGACTCATTCTGCTGCGGATGAAGGATTTTGGTTTTGCTGCAATAATGACCGATGATGCCTCTTTCCACACACGCTTCATCGTTGTAAACTCTAAGTTTTGTTAGTGCTGTCAAGCTGCTCTTTTGATGATGCACCCCAATAAAAACGGAGTCAATTTTGGGAATGACAGGCCCACGTACTAATTACAAGTATTTTAAAAATGAAATTCAAGGCAAATTGAATATCATCAGAATCAAAAATAATAGTGGAATTAAAGCTGTATTATTACCCTGCTTGCAAGAGCTTCCCATTGAATTTGAGTTAGATTTTTGATTCATGATTTTTTAAGATTGGTTTGGCCTTAGATAAAGTATGTTTTTTTTTCGCTGTTTCTTAACAATTTAACTGAATAATGTACACTGATATTTTCTATCACAGATCTTTTCGATATTAGCACAGAAAACTATAAATTAATCCACTCAACCATGACAAAAGCAAGGAACCCGGAAAGGGTAAACACAGGGAATATGATGAAACACTTTTAGTCAGGTGAGTGCGGTCAGCTGTTTGAGGTTAGGTCGCATTGTCACGTGATCGCAGTGCTCCGTGGATGACGAAAGCGCTGTTGCATGCACGGAATGCATTTCAATGCGCGTCAGCCGACAAGGCAAACAAGACTTGACGTGGACGGCGCGGCGTATCACGGGTTCATCATAAGTCCCCCGTCCCCCCCTATTGCCCCCCCCCCTCCCGTCATCTTTTTATTAATATTGCACCACAACACGTCGATTTCGTAAGCAAGAGCCGCAGTCAATCGCGTTCTTTATACTTTGGGACCTTTCATAAAATACGTAACTCTCAAGAAAGGG